TCTAATACTTGCCACCCCTGTGGAATGTAGAAATACACCTTTCCTCTCCTCCCCATGTTTGTCTTTCAACATATAGAATACCCTAGCATCTTAATTAATATTCTTCAAGAAATATTGCATAAACTTACTCATGCTTCTTCACACATTTCATCTTTTAAGACCACAGTGATTCTTAGCAAGTATCTGAACCTTCTAAGCCCTTCAATTAGCTAATTATTTTAATGATCTTTTCTTTCTAATTTACCTATCTACCTTCACTTAACTTTTCTGAAATATGACTGATAATGAAGATTATACAAAACTATAGAGCTATGGACCCACTATAGGTTTATACAAAGACAAAACACTTTTTTTCTTTCATTTCGACAAATGTGTTCAATGCAAGTAAAATCTTAAACATTACTTGGTTTGCTGAATAAGTTAACAAGAGTAAAGGCAAAATTCTCAGCTTTATAATGCTTTTATAATGGATTCTATATTCTTCTGTTTATAAACAAGTTACCAGCTTTGTAAATGCAGTTCCTTCGACCCTCTGGCCAATTCAATAAATAGGCACAGAGTACCTTCAAGCAATATAAAAGGAGTCTTCTCAACAAAATCAGTTGAAAGGAGAGCAGATAATGAAACATTACATGATGCTTTCAGAAAATGAGCAATTTAATGTAAGTATATTTATTTAAAGAAACAATCCAAAAGTATAATTGAAAAAGAACCAAAAACACAAAAGAAGTCCTAAAATATAAACACACAATATCACATTTACTTTCAAAACCTCTCAAAGAATAAAAATAGAAACTGTGTTGTAAGAAAGTACCACAATTAGCCAAAGATTGACATACAGCATCAAAAAATTGAATATAGAAATGTATCAAGAGAACATTACAAAAAAATTATGTCAGAAAAGGCTCCATTTCTTTTTTGACCATATGTTTTCCACAAAATCTATTAAAAATACTTTGGAATAAATTTAACCAAGGTGACACACAAAAGATTTGTACATTGAAAAATGGTAAAACAGGACCAAAAGAAGTGAAAGAGGAATAAAAATAGTTCATTAATTGGAAAACTCTGTATTATTAAGATGACATTACTACCCAAAGTGATCTATAGATTCAATACAACCTCTTTCAAAGTCTTAGGTACCTATTTAAAACACCGAAATTGAAAAGTCTAGCATAAAACTTATATGGGAACCCAGGGAAGGAATAACACAAGTAAAGGCCTTGTAGTTCCTGATTTTTAAAACTTCTAAAACTGCAGTAGTCAAAACAGTGGCATCAGTGGAGACACATACATAGACAAATGAACTACAATCTGGAAATAAACACTTGCATATATGGTCAATTGATTGTTGGTGTGAGTGCCTAGACTATCCACTGAGAAAAGAACAATTGTGGTGCTAGGAAAACTGGGTATGGAAAATAGTAAAGTTGGACTTTTACCTTATACCTAAATTTATTGAAAATGGATCACAGACATAAATGTAAGATGTACAATGGCAAAATTCTTAGGAAAAAATGAGAAGATCCATTCCATTGGATTTAGCAGTCATTATTGAGAAATACCAAAAACAGAGGCAACAAAAATGATTAATTAGACTGTAATGAAACTTAAAATTTTTGTACATGAAATACACTATCAAGAAGGTAGAAATTCACAAGTGTTGCAGCTCTTTTAGAATTTGTCCAGCAGGTTTTCTGGCGCTTGCCGGAAAACCCACAAAAAAAAAAAAAAAGAAGGTAGAAATTCAACCCCTCCAAATGTGATGAGTTTTTATATCCAGAATAAGTACAGCTCAACAACAAAAACAGTTAACACATGAGTAAAGAATTTAAGATGCCCTATACCAGTGGCTCATGCCTATAATCCTAGGTACTCAGGAGGCTGAGATCTGAGGATTGAGGTTCTAAGCTAGCCAGGGCAGAAAAGCCCCAGTGAAATTCTTATCTCCAAGTAACCAATCAAAAACCAAAGTGGCACAGTGGCTCAAGTGATAAGAGTGTTAACTTGGGGCACAAAGAGGCTCAGGACAGTGCCCAGATCCAGAGTTCAAGCTCCGCAACAACAACAACAACAAAACAAAAACAAAATTAAGAGCTAGGCGAAAGATGGCAGAAAGAGAACAGAAAACAACCTAAGCTCTCTCTAACGAAGCAGAGTTTTAGGGTCCCATCAGGCACTGCATGTCTAGAGAGTCACACCAAGCTGTAATTATATAGAGATATACACTAAAAAAGGTTATAAACTGCTTGCATAAGAAAACAGAAACCAGTGAAGAAATGCCCCAGGAGGTGGTAGTATGTGCAGCCAAGCCCACCAGGTATGAACATACCTTCAGCATGGAATTTAAAGAGCCTGGAAAGGAAAAAGCAGGAATGAGAATGCACAGCCAAAATGGCCACAGTCAGATGCAGAGACAGTTTGCCACAATACAGACAGCCCAAAGCAACACCCAGAAACGTGAATACCCCACCAAAGACATCCCCCTGGCTCCCAGAGAACAGCATCTGGATGGGAACCCCTTCCCTACCCCAGAAGAGAACGTGGCAAACTGGGCTGCCAGAGCACCTGGCCAGAAACACTTACAAGGAAAGTGGGCACCACTCTTGAAAAGGGCAAAGGAATTTGATACCTTTGCAAAACCCCTCTCTGGCTTCAAATAAAGGACCCAACCAGTGAGAGGCAGCTCCACCACTCAGCAGTGAGCAAAGACAAGCTTGGCATTCTAACCAAATTCCAGCATGGCTCACAGTGAGCAGAGCACCTTGGAATTATAAAAACAAAAACAAAAGTTTCTAAAAGTTCACTTGAAAAAAAAAAAGACAGGTAATAAAAACCTAGTGTGTTGTCAAGCTGTACTGAGAGTGGAACATATTGAGGAATGTTACAGGTTCCAGATGTGATGCAGACCTGCCCACACTCAAGAACTCTCTCTAGGCTTCAGGTAAGAACCATCTCCAGTGAACTAAGGAGCCACACCCCTGTAGGGCTGCCTAATCTAGGCTGGGAGTGGCAGAGAATACAATTTTGTAAGGCAGAGTATTTTTCTGGCCTCTCAAACTGATTACAGAGAATTCATCTTTTCTCTTTGACTTATAAGCTACAGGCCTTTAAAAAACTATAATTTGCCAATTATAGTGAGAGTGGAAATCTAGGTAACAGCCACATTCCTGTATCAGGAAGGCTTCAGAATTCAATTACAGCCCAGGCCCCTTCAATTAAGCAGCGTGGACCCAACCAAAAAACATCAGAAATACCTCCTACCTGTGAACTAAGGAACTCCACCCCTAGGTTCTGCCCAGATCTTGGCGATAAGGACAGTTGTAGACCTCAGCAACTAAAGCAGATACTCTACTAAGATACTACATACAGGGTGTTGGGAGACACAAATTGGAGAACTCATTTGTTTTTGTTTTTCTCTTAGATATATGAACTATGGTGATTCCTAAGCATTTTTCTTAGTTGTGTGCATGATTAATTCTGGCAATATTTTTTATCATTTTTTTCCTTTTATTTTTTCCTTTTTCCTTCTTTCATTTCTCTTTATTTTTATTTTCTCCCTTTTTTCTGGTCTTTCTCTCTTCTTTATTCTTTTGTTCCCTTTTTTATCTGTTTGTTTGAATGTCTTTGCTTCCATTTTGGTTCTGTCTTGTAGGCTCCTTCTGTTATCCTTTTTGTTTTGTTTGTTTTATCCTGACCTTTACAACAGATTTGCTCACTTGCTACAAATGTATATACTCTCCTTTTCTGTACCACAATACCCCTCCCCAAACAAAAGTGAAGGCATATTTAGATAGGGGAATACCTATCTATGTTTTAAAGCCTCTGATTTAAAGACTATGCAATTGAAGGGATCTGTGTTGCTCTTTTACTTTATATTGTGTCCTGTTGTGGTTTTGGATTTGGCTTTTGTTTCCCTCAGTGTTATTCTACATTAGCTCATATTAACTCTCACAACTGAATAACTCATCAGTCACAAATATACCTAATGTCCTTTCACAACAATTCCCTTTTATTCCCCCCCCCCAAAAAAAGGTATATTTAGATAGAGGAATACCTATAAATGACAGGCCACTATTTGTGTTTAGGGAGCCTCAACTTGATTTTCTTCAGGGGTATATACTACAAGGTCTCTCTACCTCATCTTTTCTCTACTTTGCAGCCATTACCTACCCTCTTTTTCATCCTTCTTCAGCTAAATCTTCTATAACAGTAGACTTCTCTCACCCACAGTTCTCTCTGAAAAACCACTTCTCTCCAAACCTCCCCTGCCTAAGAACCTCAATTTCTTGTTTCAACAGATAGACAAGGGTTAACATCACAGCACTGAAACATGACTAAACTCTAATCTTACACTTAACACTCTCAAGAAAATATGACCTCCATATAAACAAATCCCAACAGAATATCTTGCCATCAACTGGCTAATCAAGAACACAGAGAACAACCTATTAGGAAGACCATAGTCTTCCCAAAAATTAAAACCAAAAGGGATTCCAAATGGGCAGAACAAACTATAAAAACACAAGAAAAATGTCAAGCCAAGGAACCTCAACTTCCGTACAAAATAGCATCAGAGGATTTTGATTTAAGGCCAACCATGCAAAAAGAAGTTTGCAAACCTTAATTAGAACCAATAGCTTGTCATGGTGACCTATACCTGATATCCCAGCTATAAAGGAAGCACAAGGGTGCAGTACTGAATGTCTATCACCCCAGAGATGAGAAGTACAAGAATATTGCTCAGACTGGCACAAGCATAAAGAGGCTACCTTGAAAAAAGAACAATGAAAAGAGACTGGAGGTATTGTGTTAAGTGGTAGAACACTTCCAAGCAAGAAAAAGACCCTAAGTAAAAAGAAAAAAGCCCCATCCAAATAAGTCTGATTATACTCTAATTGCTTTATTGTTTTAGTTACCTACCTCAAAAACAACGTATCTTAACTGTTGCTGGTCAAACTATATATTTATAGTGCAAGAGTTAAAAACAAACATTATACCTGATAGAGCATAATAGGTTCTATGTTGTATCCTAAGGCATCTGCAAAGTTCTTAGCAATCACTGTTTTTCCACAACCCTACAAATGAAAACACAAACACATTCAACAGATGAGTCAAACCCAATCAAAAGCCAGGAAACTCAAGCTTACACGAACGTTGTCATTCTTACCTTTCCTCCAACAATACACATGTCCTTAACCATGTGAGACTGAATCATTTCAGCCAGTAGTTGTTTGTGACTTAGTGTTGGTATAAAATGATCTGATGCACAAGGTTCATGTAATGGCCTGGTTCCCGCTGGCACCTATCATTAAATTATACACACACACACATAAATAAATAATTTTGACAAAATAATTAGCAACTTAAAGCAGGTCTCTGTCACTTCAAGTCCCCTATAAATTTCTTCAATGCTGTACAGGTTTTTGATATTTTAGCAAAGCAGCAACTATATTTTCATTCCATTATCATCATTTCCTTATCATTAGCCCTCCAAATTAATTATCCCTCTAAATTCAATGTCTCACAGTCAAATATTTTCATAAAATCATGTCATTTCACATATTTTATAACTATTTAAAAAATCACTAGTAGAGAACAAAGTTTTTTTTCTCAAATTCCAATGGTAAGTTCAGAATTCTAAATTGGCCTACACTTGGATCTTCAAGTCATTGACCAGCTCCTGACTTCTAATGCTATATCCACAAAGTCTTTTCACGATTACCAAGTTCACCTAACAGTGAACCTAATTATAAAATCTTCTGTTCTCATTCCTTCACACCTACTTCTTTTATTTTTATTTTACACTTTTTCTTTTTTTTTTTTGTCAGCTGTGAGGCTTGAACATGGGGCCTGGGTACTGTCCTTGAGCTCTTTTGCTCAAGGCTGAGCCACAGCTCTACTTCTGGTTTCTGAGTAGTTAACTGGAGGTAAGAGTCTCATCGGGACTTTTCTGCCTGGGCTGGCTTCAAACCACAATCCTCAGATCTCAGCCTCCTGAGTAGGTAGGATATAGGCATGAGCTACTAGTGACAGACTATTTTATTAATTTTAATTGTGCTTTCTTTTTCTTACTCTTTGTAGCCCAGACAAATTGAGTTTTAGTCCTCAGTTGCTCTTTTCTTCCCTTAAAAATTGATTTTACTTTTTAACTGATACATTAAAAAATTATTCAGACCACTAGGGTACTATGTGATGTTCTGATACATGTACATATTGTATAATGTTTAATTTAGACATCTATTTATTTCCTTTATGAAGGAAACGTTGAAATTCCTTTCTCTTAGCTTTCTGAAATATACAGTACATTAGTATTATCTGTAGTTACCCTGCTATTCAGGGTAACTTAGTATCCAAAACTTAGTATCTACTGACCAATCTTACCTGGTAGCCACTAATTTACTCTGACTATGTATGAGGTCAACAGTTTTAGATTCCAAATTTTTTTTTTATCATGAAAGTTTATTCTATCACAACATAGGAAAGCAAGCATTTATGCTTGTATTTATTTTGTAAACATTTGGGACTATGCTTTCTAGTTTCCTATGCCATCTTGGGGCACAGAAGACCCTAAAAGCAAGGGTTAGAAGAAAGGGAAGCAGCCAGGCACCAGTGGCTCACACCTGTAATCCTAGCCACTCAGGAGGCTAAGATCTGAGGATCATGGTTCAAAGCCAGCCTGAGTAGGAAAGTCAGTGAGACTCTTATCTCCCAATAAAACCACCAGAAAATTGGAAGTGGTATTGCGACCCAACTGGTAGAGCACTTGCCTTGAGCTGAAGAGCTGTGGGACAGCACCTAGACCCAGAGTTCAAGCCCCACCACCGATTTAAAAAAAAAAAAGGAAGCAGAACAAGCAGGTAGAGCTCATAACCAAATAGAATTCCTTTCTACTAAAAGCTGTTCAATCAGAACAGCTCCTCTTCTAACTGCTTCCTAAAGCTGAGGAAGACTTCTTTGAACACAGGAGTCTCTAAAGTATATTTGAAAACATTGCTTCTTATGAAGGACTACCAATTTTTACCAGAGGTTAACTTTGGGTTTTTGAAGAAAGGCTATCCTGTTTCTCTTGAACTTTCTCACTTACAAACACACATGACTTTGGACACATAAATATATAGTTGGGGTGCTATAAAGCCAGAAATTTATAAGGAAATCCTATACCTAATTTAGCTTATAAAAATGGTCAGAACACCATATAAGATGATGCTAAGCAAAATGAACCCAAGATATGGACACAAGAGGTTTTTCTTTGTTGTTGTTGTTTTTAATGTACTATGCAATTTTTTTGTTTCTTTTGTATATTCTTCCTCCTATAGTATATCCCTGTTGTCACTGTATTTGATTTTGGTACCTTGCCTCTTCTATGTACATTTATCTAATTTGGGGAGTGGTGAGGGAATAACAAAATGTTGAAACAATGACACAGGATGACCCATTGCAACAATGATATTCACTCGATACTATGTTGGAAATGAACTTTACAACTTTGTGGCAGGGGGAGGAATGGGGGAGGGAAGGGGTAGTAGGATAAAAACAAAAGAGGAGGTAACAATGCTCAACAGAAATGTACTCATTACCTTACTGATGTAACTGTAACCCCTCTGTAAAGCATTTTTACAAGAAAAGAAAAGAAAAACAAACAAAAAAAACTGAAAAAACAGAGCTGGTTGCTAGTGACTGAGATCTAAGGACTGTGGTTCAAAGCCAGCCCAGGCAGAAAAGTCTGTGAGTCTCTTACCTCCAATTAAGCAGCAAAGGCCAGAAGTGGAGATATGGCTCAAGTGGTAGAGAGCCAGTCTTGAGCAAAAATGCCAAGTGAGAGCACGAAGCTGAGTTCAAACCCCAGTATTCACACGCATGCATGCATGCGTGCACACACGCGCACGCACACACACACACTGAGGCAGAACAAGGCACACTATAGAATAAATATACCTGAAATTACCTTAATGACCACCTCTTTTCCTCCAACTCGGATAGTCACACAGGCTTGGGAGACATGATTTTCACATACCCTCTCCACTCTTACAATCTCTTTAGGAAGCAGAGAGCTTTCTGAATCCTGGAGCTCAAAGCGCTGTAAAATTTCAAACAGTCTGTCATTTGCCTTTCATTTTAGGACTAATGTTGAACATTTGGAGGACTTCAATTATAACTGAAATTCATTCTATAGTATAAATGTAGAGATTAAAATATTAATGAGAATTTTTCTATTTTCCACTAATACATTTCTACTTAAACCATTGTTAACATTGATTTTATTAAAGTTCCCAACCCACACTATTTTTATCAGTAAGAAATGTGTATCATCACCCTGTCCATTCAATTCCTGTTTCCATTAACCTACTTCAGCCTGTCACTGTTTTCACCAGAGCAATTCATCATATGTTATGGAGTCATAATGTTAGGATAGTCATTTGTTGGCATGCTTGATGCTCTAACCAGACAGTGAGCCTCTCATGGGCAGATCACATGGTATCTGCTTCTGTGTCCTATATTTCTGTATACATTATAATATAATCATTGCCAAATAAGGGATGTTCAGTTATTGTTTACTAAACTGAATGAAAATACTCAAGGCAAGTTCTTTCCAAGTTTCTCAGCAAAAAAAATGATGGTGCAGATTATATTATCAGCGAAGTTACAACACCTTGTTTCTAAGTCACCAAGGGAATGTATTCATTCAGCCATGGTTATGATTGGTTCTACATAAGTAGAATTGAGAGCCAAGATTTGTAATGAGAAGACTGGATGCATCTGTTACTAACACAAAAAGACATACACATCATGAAGTAGGCCAAACTTTGAGAAGCTAGAAGCAATTTTATAACTACAACACATGAATGGGATGTAAGTGCCATGAAAGTCATTCCAACCATTTTTATAGATAGTTCAGAAAAAAATATTCTGAGTTTTGGCTGACGAAAATTTCAGTGTATAATAATTTTTCGTTAAGATACAATCTAATTATGAGATATATAACTTATATAACATTATTTATTAATTTCTATGACAACCTTGGTATAGAATATACTGCCTCTTCACTTGCCCTATAATAGATATCTGTACTCCTTAATTACAAACATTTTTTCTAAATTTAATGAAGTTCCTCTCTTATCAAAATTATTTGAAGGCCATTAGGTTATGATAATGATTGAAAACATATATAAATTTGAATTAACAGATCAAGGAGAATACCCCAAAATGAGGTCACAGAGTATTCTACCAATTAAGTCTTTTTCTTCTCTTATCTTAGTAATGCCAATCCATATTTCCTTCTTTAAAAAATCTTGTAATATGTAGCTTTAATAATTTTTCTATGTTTTTTCTCATTATAAAGGTCAAAATAAAGAGCAAACAACTGGGAGTGATGGTATACACCTCTAATGCCAGCACTTGGGAGACAGGGGCTAGTAGATTCCATATTTGAGACCAACTAGGGCTACAGAATAAAACTCTGTCTCAAAAAACAAACAAACAAATCAAGGTCAAACAAAATGAAGCAATACTAGTTATTTTCAGAAAATGTACCACTTTGAAAGTATTCTATACATATAAGGAGTTTGGAATTAGGGAATAGAAACACAACTGTTTCTCTATTTGGGTCCCTTGATCATACTGACTGATCTAGACAACGAGCATCTTCCCTCAGCTGTTCTACAGAAAACTGGACATTGCTTTGTTTCACCATCATGTCCTCCTTGCACATGCTCTATAGTTTCCAAGGCAGAGGCACGAGCAGGGGCATGGTGTGGAGGGCACTGAGAAACTTCTCTGGAACTGAGGAGTCTTGATCTTTCATACCAGATGCTCTGCTTCACTGACAAGTGCCAATTTGGCTCAGATATTGATTCAATCAAAAATAAGTGCCAGTTCAACCTGGGGATTTCTTCAGTGTTTCCGTGGTCATTATGGCCTAAATAGTTAATGAATGCTCCTAGGTCTTCTACCTAGGAGGAATACAGTATCTACTCATAGCCAGAAACAATGTTCCTCTCAGAAGAACATTGGAAGTATTGGGAGATACACAATCCCAGTTTGTCCCATGTAGTCAGATTGATTTTACTGGAAAAATATCATTTGCCTTTTTTGTCATCAGTTGAGTATTTTGTAATCAATTTGTTTGTAATCAATTAACTATTTTGTAAGAAGATGTTCAGAGACTCTATCAATATCTAGTTCCTCATAAAAATCTACCCACCAGCTCCGACATCTTTTGGTGACAGCTTCCTAAATCAACCTCCACTCTGATGGTTGCCAACTGGTGATTTTAATATTTCTGTAATTCCTTCTATAGTTATTAGTAAGCATTCCATATTAAGAAACAGATTTTTGCTTTTCCTCCAGATTTCTAAAACTTTGTTTATCAATATGGACACATAGATTCCTGTTTTATGCAAGCTGGAGCCTCTGTTATTTTAACATATTGACATCATTTGTTGAAAATGCCCTTACTCTCTAGAACAATAAGATATCCCAGGCTCATCTTGTACATTTCTTGGCCCAATACTGTTTCCGCCCTTCATCTAAGGTGTTTTGATTCTTTTGAGGTGACTGTGGTATTTAGAAATCAATGTATAAGCACTGGGTGAGCTCATAGGTTTTAAGCTTTCTCAGGAGACAGAACAAAACAATATATGTATGCATACACACACACACTCTATTATTACATCTGCTTGTTCATATATGTTGAAAAAGCCCATGATCTTAATCACATTTTCAATCCCTATCTAACATTTGTGCCTTTCCTCTCTCCATGTTTATAAATCCCTTCTCCAAGAGTGCCAAACATAGCTCTCATTATCCTTAATAAATTCTCATTTGCTTCATTGATTTGCTTATTTCCCACTATATGAAATCTCCTAGCAATATTAGCCCACAGGCCTGCTTCCCTGTCACTGCTTTCTTGCTACTGGCATCTAGTGCCTCCAAGTCTAGAAAAGAAGAGGAAAGGCAAAACAAAAACAACTCACAAACAAATAAACAAAAATACAATGGGGAGAGAAAAATAGGACACTTGGAAAAGAGAAAAAAGGGAAAAATGGAAATGAAAGGCAAGAAAAGAAGGGAAAGGGGATACTTACTTTTAAAACACCTTCCACAGCCATCTTCCCTTCATGTCCTAGTAAAATGGTATATGGATACAGCCACTGGATTGCTTGTTTGATTGACATCATGGGAAAGGAATCCTATTTGCAAGCAGATATACAGAGGAATAATCACAGAAAAATGATCTGAAATGTATATATGCCATTAAAATTTCCTTAGTATTCTAGAAGTGTAGACAAGTAAATATTATTTCTTTCTCTTTCTCTGGGTGACATCACTCATTACTGTCTTTTATCCATGAAGCCATCTATAATGGCTCCCATTCATCTATGTCTACTTCTAACTCTTCTTGAGCTTTAGATCTGGACCACCAATTATCCATCACATGAGACTACAGTACATGGATTTGGACATATCTAAAACCACATGTATTCATCCTAAGGAACCAAATTCTACTTCTTTAATTTGGATTCAGCTCATTCACATCCACCTGATTTTTGAAATTATAATGATAAAATTAGGAAGTATACTTTACTTATCCCCTGAAATCAAATTGTACTCCCAGATTTATTCACTCTGCTTTAAAGAGGCTTATTGACAGGAATGAATACAAAAAAAATTCAATATAGATTTTCTGTTAAATGATTCTATCAAATTACTGTTAATATTGTATTACACGTAATAATACCTTCTAATTGTTAAAAGGCATCTGCTTAAGGTTTAAAGGAATAATGCAGTTTAATTTCAATGACTAAAGAAAAACAGTTGGGAGAAAGAATGTTCATGCAAGCCAATGGAACAATATGTTAACAACTGATGCTTCTATGTAAAAGAATTATGGATGTTTGTTCACTATCTTTCAAATTTTTATTGACTTGAGGATTTTTAAAGTAAAAAAAGAATATAAGCAAAAACAAAGAATGAAAAGTATAAGATTTGATTTAAAAAAGGGGGGGGGAATATTATTCTTGATGTATTTGACAATGTAAACAATGCCTAAGAATAATTGCCTGACTCATTGGAAACATTTAGAAAAAAAATTGAAAACAAAAATCTTAGGTTAGGCCTGATAGCTCACACCTATAATCCTATCTTCTTGGGAAGCAGAGACAGGAAGATCACAGTTTGAAGCCACTCTGACCAGAAGTGAGGGAGACTTGCATCTCAACCAATAAGCTACGCACAGTGATATATGTTTGTAGTATAGCTATGTGAAAGGCAGAGGTAAAAGGATTGTAGTTTGAAGAAAAATTTTGAACAAAAAACACAAAACTATCTGAAAATGTAATTAAGACAAAAAGGGGTGTAGGTATGGCTCATATGGATAGTTCTGGCTTAGCAAACACAAGTACCTGAGTCTAAACTCTAGTAACACACATACAAATAAAACATAAAAATGAGAATCTTATTAAAAATACTCTAAGGCAGTATTTCCCACTGCTTAGATGATAGTCTCCTCAAGAGAATCTCAATAGTCTCACATTTGTTCCTATACATAAAAGCTCTCCCTAGCCAACAGACATGTCTTTCTCTAACATAAGTCTGATCATTGCATACCTTGCCTATATCATAATGTTTACTGGACCACTTCTTCTCCATCATAAAATCCAGGCAACTCCATTAGCCATACAAAATATATTACAATACTGTTCTAATCTCTTTCTATCATACACACACACTTACTCTATGATAACACAACTTGTTCTCTTTCTCCAAAAGTATCAGGCCTTCTATGACTGAATGCCTTTGTGTGTACCCTCTGCCTAGAAGGCCTCTCCATCATTCCAGCCATACCCTTTGTGTAAGCGTAGTGGATTATGTCAGTGCTCTACCACATCCCCCTCAGGTCTGCTGGGCTTCCTGCTTTCCCACCCACAAAGCTGCCACAGGTCTTTCTAGGAAAAGCATCCTTGGGCACTTGCAATCAACTCCCCTTCCCCCACCCCAAGCTTAGAGAACTGGGAAGTTATGTCCTCTGGAATAAATAATGACCAATTGGTGCTAGCTATCTCAATGTCATACCTCTCACTTGATCAGGTTGAGAACGCATGTCCAGTTCTCCAAAACCACAAGCTCTTTAGGAACTCAGCTGTCTCTGTGCAGGTTACTAAACTGCACAACAAATCAATCCCAGGTCTTTTATAGAACAGTATGAGTGATCACTTCCAATGATTAACTTTCAAATCTCTTTGCTACATTTGGGTGTACCACTCTTTAATTTATATTATACATACCAAGATTTGAACTGCAGCTGGTAAACTATCTAGAGGAAAATCTGGAAGTCCAAGAGTAGAAGATTCTTGGGAACAGAGAGTTGTGGCAAAGGACAAGAGCTGAGAAAGTCTAAGAAAGAAAAAAAAAGATACACAATTTTTCTTGAATCATTTTGAAACATAAAATGTACAAATATATTCAACATAAAATAGCTATGCGAAATCAGTCTAAAAAGATGGCCCTTACTATTAATTCTAAAAGAATAATGGCTCCATATCATAATATTCGATTTAAAACTCAGAAGCTGGTTAGTTACACTGACACATTTCCTAAATCCATTACAATATGTGAACTTTTTCAACTTGGTACAAATCTACCTTGCCAGCCTCAGTGCCTATATAGTTCAATCCTAAAACAAAGTTATAGCCACTAAAAATATTTTTAAATGATAAGAACACAGAACAAACTCTCGGATCTTGTGTTTTTTTTTAAGAAAAATCACTTTAGATTTTCTTGATTACATTTGGCATATGGCAAAATCTAACTCATCCTATAGAACTCATTTCAAATGCTGGTTCATCTGTGAAGCATTTATTAAGTCTCAAGCACAAATAGCTCCAATAATTTGAAACTATGGTACTTAACTATACTATATCAAACTAAGTGACTGTTCAAATCTACTAGAAATTGAGTTCTGGCATTAAAGACATTCTTTTATTAATTCTATCACCACACTTGTCAAACCTCTTAACATTAAAAATTTCTTCCAAAATAATTCTTGAGTAAATAAACCCATCAATCAGTGAAAAGGCAAAATAAATTCAATATTAAGTATCCAATACTTATAAAAGCACACTTACCTTTCAGCAGGAACATTGGATCCTACTGAATACAGTAGTTTAAGTTGGTCCTAAAATAACATATAAACATATCAAATTAATAAGGGATACAACAAATTAAGTATAAGCACAATATAAGCACAATACAAACTTTTTATTAAGCAGACACTACATAATCCATCAAGAAAATCATTTCTTGATACATCCTATAGTGTTTCAAAAGAAAAGTCAGTATTTAAAATATTTTTTTTCAATCTGGGCATGGTGGTTCAGGCTTGTAATCAATCCTAGCAATAAGAAAGCTCAGGTAGGGGACTGGGAAGGTAGCTCAGTGGTAGAGTGCTTGCCTTGCATGCATGAGGCCCTGGGTTCGATTCCCCAGCATCACATAAGCAAAAAGAAAAAAAGCCGGAAGTGGCGCTGTGGCTCAAGTGGTAGAGCGCTAGCCTTGAGCTGAAGAGCTGAGGGACAGCGCCCAGGCCCAGAGTTCAGGCCCCATGACCCGACCCCAAAAAAAATTAAAAAAAAAAAAAAGAAAGCTCATGTGGGAGAATTATAAATTCGAACCTAATAGCAAAAACAAAAGCTCTTTCAGACAAAAAATACCATAATAGCCTTTTTTCCTTTAACTACTGATAAGGACATTTAAAAACACAGTAATATTTTATAGAATTGAATTTCCTCTTGTAAACAAGTTTTTTTTTGTTTGTTTGTTTGTTTTGTTGGTCTTGGGGCTTGAACTCTGGGGCTGGGCAATGTCCCTCAGCAATTCAGCTCAAGACTAATGCTTTATCACTACAGCCACAGTTCCACTTTCAGTTTTCTGGTGGTTTATTGGAGATAAGAATCTCATGGAATTTCCTGCCTGGGCTGGCTTTGAACTGTGATTCTCAGATCTCAGCCTTCTAAGTAGCTCAGATTACAGACATGAGCCACAGGCACCCAGCTTTATAAATAAGTTGTTTAAAAAAATGCACTATCCTTGGTCACACTTACCTTGAAGGGTAGAAAATAAATATCTCTGGCTTGAAATCTAGAACGGAGAGGGGGGTCTAGTGGATTCCCAGAGTACCTGGGCACAGGCAAACCCAGGGCAATCACTCGGAAATTTTCACTAACTCGGACAATCTTCCAAGCATCCAACTCTGCTTTAGTGTGATCCTAAGAAAGCCAGAGATCAGAAAACCAGCATAAGTGATATAGATTTCAGCTATAGGAGGTGACAGGCTTCTTAAGAAATGTTTTTTTTGTTGGTTTTTGTGTGTGTGTGTGTGTGAAAATACTGTACAGAGGGGTTACAATTACATGGGCAAGATAATGAGTACATTATTGTAGCCTCCTCCTTTGTTTCCCCTTCTCATCCCTTCCCATCCTTCCCCCATCCCCCCCAAACCTCCCCGCCCGCCCCCAAAGTTGTAAAGTTCGTTTCGACATAACAACTTGTACATCTCATTGTTGCAATGGGTCCACCTGTATCCCTATTTAAATGATTTGTTTTTCACCTTCCCCTCCAGAAATTATACCCACATCAAATACAGTGAAAGCAGGGGTTATACTATGGGAGAGGGACATACAAAGCAACAAAGAAATAATCTTATAAATGTGTTAGAAACAAATGCATGGGGGGGGGAGAGAAGGATTGGGACTGGGGGGGGAGAAGGATTGGGACTGGGGGGGAGGGGGGAGGCTGGGAAGGGATGTGAAGAATAAACAAAGGAGGAGGCTGCAATGCTTGGTAAGAAATGTACGCATTATCTTGCCATGTAATTGTAACCCCTCTGTACAGTATGTTCACAAATAAAATAAATTAAATAAAAAAAGAAACAAATGCATGAAAGAAAAAAAAACATTTGAATATATATCTTAGGGTTCATTTCCTTAACATCACCTTATCTGACATTTTCTGCTTGACTCAGACATATATTAGATATTGCAAATAAGGGAAACCATGGGATCTATGTTTCTTTGGGCCTGGCTTACTTCACTGAAAAAATTAAGCTCACTTGTTGAAGGAACTGTCTTTGAGAATACTCTCAATATCAAGGTGTCAAGGAAGAGAGCACAGTGAATGAGACTCAGTATGCCAGGGAAGGCTCAACTTGAAGACTGGTGTTAGAAAGTCAACACATAGCCTAGTGCTGCTGGCTCACATCTGTAATCCTTGCTACTCAGGAAGCTGAGACCTGAAGGATGGAAATTCAAAGCCAGCCAGAAAAGAAAGGTTAAGGAGATTCCATGTCCAATTAACCATCAAAAAGCTAACTCAAGTGATAAGAGCACAGCAGTAAGCAAACAAGACCAGCAAGAACATGAAGACCTGAGTTCAAGTGTCCAGATTAAGCATCCAGGAAAAAAAGAAAGAAAGAAAGGCAGTTCACACACCAAAGAATAAAGAGTCTTGGGTCAGATCACCATGCCTTAGTCAGTACTGTGGGGAACCAAGTCAGGAGGGTAAAGGAAATACATGATCAGAGGCACAAAAAGTAGTACTAAAATAACAGACCATTTACATAGTGGAGAGTGGCTACAGATCTCAAAGGGATAATTTTATTTGTGGACATAGTTCTAGCAAGCCATTATTAGTAATAACTAATATGTTTTGAAAGTTTACTACATGGTAAGTGCATTCCATGAATTTTTCTCATTAACTTTCCTGAAGTTCTCATTTAATTCCTCAGAGTTTCTCATTTAATGAACTACAATCCAAGCAGACCACCTCCTTATATGAATGAACAGATTGAAGTCAAAGGCATTATGTAACTTTCCACATTCTGTACATGGCAGAGCTGACAGAATGGAAACAGTATATGTTTTAGAGTCGTAAATCCTGGCTCATTCCCTTGATTGCACACTCCAGCTAAATGATTAAGGAATGTTATTTTACCCTAGGACGCACAGCCTTCCTATCTATAAACTGGAAACAACTTGGCTACTTATTTTTAGTGCTGTGCAAACTCAATGTGATAATATACGGGAAAGCAACTGGTCCTGAGTATCAGTTCCTTTCCTCTCAAAGACTTAAGTACTTAAGGTAAGTATACTTTGCTCCTTACACAGATTCCATGAATGTACATACAGATATTTTCAGAGGAAGGACCATGGCATAGCTTTCATTAGGTCTTCAGAGGTCATAGCCTACACATCAGTTTGGTAACTCTGAATATGACTTTGACTATGACCCAATTCCCTTCCTGGGACAATTTGTGTCTGACTCCCAATCTCAGCAACCTCCACCACCCATGACCCTGTGCTCCAAGTTATCTCACAGCTATAATTCTCCAAACACATCATGCTTCACCAACACTGCTCTGTTTCAGAGGAACACCCCTCCTATTTTGCATAGCAGACACACAAATAGTCAAAGCTTAGCAACTAACATCCTTGTAAAAAACTGTTCCTCTCCCCCTCCTTGGAAGCACCTTTGTACCACATCATTATATCTTTTCCAAGCTTCTATCATTATACATCTGCCTCATTCTAACTCCAAGCTCAAGAGGACTTATTGCCTCATGTATATAATTGGAAAAACTCTATTGATTAATTATATAATTTTAAATAAACATTTTAATTCATACCTAAAGTCACAAATAGAATCACACTATGAAACAAAAGTTTTGAAATACTAAAGTCATTATGTTGAATCTAGCTAGATATAAGTAGAACTTAAGTTACAGTATTGGAATCTGTTTATAATCAAAATTGTCCTAAGATGCAAGTGTCTGGTAAGGGATCTTATTTATATTCTCATGAGATAGCCTCATGAATACAAAAACAGAACTTGTCAACAAAAAGTATGTATCTATACTGGTATTTTTTTAAGAAAAATAATGTGACACACTCTTCTCATTTAATAATAATAACCATTATAGTCTATTAAAGCTCATTGAGCCCCGCTTCACAAATCCTTATACAAATATGTTCAATACCTTTGCATGGTATTCTACTATAAAAATATATAAACATTTTGCTATAAAGTAGTGCTATGCTTTAAAAGAGACTTCATATTCCAAGTAATATTCTTCTGTAATTTGTTTGCTAAAGAGCTGGCAAATAATATAATCTCTAGTGGTAAGGTCATCTTGTAACTAGGAAGTGTCTAAAGAGAGTGTACTGTATAATGTCTACCTATACTAATAATAACTAAAATACTAAAAATAAAATAAAATAATAAAAATTGTTTTCATTTTAGTAAATGAACTATAATAACAGAAAGGAATGAATCTGTTTTTCTTATTTATTAGCTATCTCCTTCTAATTGTATTAGAGTGAAAAGGATCTTTAGACAGCTCTAGACTCTACTATACAAGGAAAACACCATCTAGAAACTCCATAAACAGCAAAGAAACAGACTGCTATAAAGATTGCAAAGTAGGGTGCAGAGAAATAGAATCATATGGCAAGAATTAGAACAGGATGCTACTGGCCCAGCCATTAAGCTTCTATTCAAACAGACTTTCTGGTATCCACATCTATTATTCAGTGCCTGATGTGTTCTGAGATTATATTAGCACTCTGCAAGCAGGATCAAAAAGGCATAAGACACATATCTTGTTCTTGAACAATCTGCAACACCAGGGTAGTACAATGAGCATCCATATATCTGTATAGAGCAGGTATAAGAAAGGTACCAAATCCTACAATGCAAATGAAGAACCTTCAGTCTCAGAGAATGCACTGTTTCCAGTGTGTGTGTCAGCTCAAGAAAATGAACAAAGGCTAAATGTTCTCTTATCGTTTGTGACACCACTCCCACAGCTCCTGAATAGTCCTTTATTCAATACTTTGCTCTCTTTATGTACACATATAGCACAGCATTTTTATTGTACTTGTTTTCTCGTTCAGTGAATAGTTAAAGAGAAGAAAGACAGAAAGAGATGGGACAGGAGATAGTAAGATCACATATATTCCATTGGAAGGATGGATTCTGGACCTTACTGACTAGAACTAGAAGCTGTTGAGATCAGATCACAGGAGTGACCCAATCTGACACATTTTTTAAAACAGTCACTGAGTGCTGTGCTGAGAATGGTGGAGGAAGCAAGGATGGAATCAGGGAGTTCAGTTAGGAGCTAAGAATAATGTGCTGCTGACTTGGATGGTCAAGGTATCTTTAAATACAATATTCCTTACTGGGCTTTTTTTGGCTTAGTACCTATGAACTCAGTACTGTCTATACTTTTAATACGTTGTTGTTGAGAGAAGGATGAAAGTAGGGGAACAGAGGAAAATAAGTAAGAGAGGGTAATTATAAAGCTGACAAAAAGAAAAGGAGTAGAAATCTGAGAAGTCTTCTGACATGGTCTGCAAACAGAATAGCCTTGTAAAACCACAAACTCAAGATTTAATTACCTCATCAATTTGCTAAAGAAAAGGGCCATTTGAACACTTGTCCTAATTCCAAAAGAACCATACTTCACACCACAAGATACTATGACTTGGCAGCAAAGGCAAAGCAATCCGTTTTCCTTCTCTTACTTGGAGAAGTTTGTCATAGCGCTCAGCAGACATCAGGAAGCGTCCATCTTCAAGCTGCATCTCTCTGTTTTCCAGCAAGTTGTTCAACACAGGAAGAACGTTCCTTTCTGCCTTTTCCAAGCCTTCCAAAACAAGAATTCTGCCTTCTGTGGCAGCACGAACTGCACACTATATCCAAGAAACACAAAAACAAAATGAGAATACTTTAGGTAGCCAGACATAGCCTAATTTCACTTACACTGAAAACTAAACTTGCATTTCTGGCTATAGATGCTGTGAATGAGGAAATCTGCATTTGATATAATTTTGTGCTTTTCCCCCACATCTATATGATCTTAGGAAAGTAATTTTTACCTCTATAGACCTGTTTATTCATTTGTAAAATGAAGAGGCTAAAAGAGTTAACTCTCTAAGGTTCTTTTAGCATTAGCATTATAGATACCAATGAAATAGAAAACTAAGCTATCCATAAGCAGGTAACATAATTAAGAAAGGGAACACATTCCTTAATTAGAAAAGGGAAAAGAAGCTAACCATTTACTCCATCTATTCCACAAACTTCTTGTGAAGATCAAATAAGCTAGGCAAAAAGGCTTGAAGACCATGTTTGTGAATGAGTCATCATGGAATGAATTCCAGTTTAGTCTGTGCTCAGGGCTGATAACATTACACGCTTGACAAAGACAGAATAAGAGTCAGGTTTTATAGGAGCCTACAAACAGACTGATTTCACCAGTATTAGAAGTCTTTTAATAAACTTAAGGAAATTAATACTGGAGAAAAATGAAAATTAAAGTAGAACTCCATCCAAAAATGGTATTAAGACAGGAAAATTGTAATGCCAGAAAAGTATTAGAAATGTAACAAAACAAGAAAACTACTCTCTTTTAACAGACAGGCTCTAAACAACATAGAAAAACAATATTTTATTAAGATCTTAAAAATCATATTCAGATTATACTATTTTTATTAAAAATTGATGCTATAAAAGCATTAAGAAAAGAAAACCTTAGACACATTTCTCTTTCTTGCACATACAACAAACAGGATTAAGGGGCTAAATACATGTTGCCATCCTCCCTTTGGGGCCATATTACACTTCATGTCCTAGAGAAAGAGTTTCTCCTTTGCTGTGTGTCCACTAAATATAAACATTCCAGAATTACATCCTTAACAACATCTTCCTCTACCAACCTGGTCCTTCCTGAGTAATTTTTGTGTGTGTGCCAGTGGTAGGGCTTGAACTCAGGGTCTGGACACCATCCTTTAGCTTTTTTGCTCAAGGCTAGCACTCTTGCACTTGAGCAACACTTCCACTTCCTTTTTTTTTTTTTTTGGTGGTTAACTGGAGATAAGAGTCTCATGGCCTTTCCTGATTGCACTGACTTTGGAACCTCAATCCTCAGATCTCATCCTCCTGAGCAGCTAGTAATACAGGCCTGAGCCAATTGGCACCTTGCTGGTGAGTAATCTTAACAACATGGAAGACAACACTTCCGTGCTGTTCACCCAGCAGTCTCAAGTTTTCTAGAACTCAGAATCATCGTGTTCCATTGCATGGCCAAAACCTATTTTCCTCAAAACTTCCTGTACTTCTTATATTTTTTACTTAAGGTGGAGTTAACCATTCAACCATGACAAGATGTTTGTAGCTTTTTTTTTTTCCAGGGCTGAGGACCGAACCCAGGACCTTGTACGCGCCGGGCGGGGGCCCTTCCGTTGGGCTAAACCCCCAGCCCCATGACAAGATGTTTGATTCCCATCTCACTTCCTACCTTCAGTTTGTCTCCACATTCTGATTATTTAACCTCTCAGTAACTTCTTGAATTCATTCATCCTTTTGCACTCCTCCCTTAGCTCAAGCCCTTCACACTCTAATCTCCCTAGTAGTACAAGCTGGTTAATTTGGCATATAAGCCTATCACAATGTACATCTACAAGACTATGTTCTAATATTAGCTGTATCATATGTGGTCCTTGTGTGACAATGAATTAGTGGCAATTTCCCTGTCACTTGAGTATACGATGCTGCTTTATGAGAAAAATCTCAATCTTTACTTACAGTGATGTCTTTAATTTTCCTTTAAGTACTAATCCAAAAAAAAAGTCAAACATTTGAAGAAAGAAGAATACATCTCTAATGTTTTAACAGCCAGGGAAATTCCTGGAATAGTATTGATTTTCCAAATATTAAAGAGAAGATAAAAATTGCTTAAAATCAGTCTTGCTTTTTGTTTCCTTTTAATAAACTGATGAATTTTACATTGTACAACAGAGCTTCTTTTATGCCAATTAACCATGATAAAATATTTTATTAACTTATATTAGACAAAAGATAATCATCCATTTTAAGAATAAGATCAACTAATAGATAATCCATCAACTATTATTATTGCAAATATTGTTACTCTTCTATAAATAACTTATTTCTTCCTTTTATACATATTTATGTATTTTTGAAAGATTCATGGATAGAAGCGACTTAGTAGTTCCTGAAGAATGAACAAAAAAGAGGCTAGGAAGGTGGCTTAGTAGTAGAATGCTTGCCTACCATGCACAAAGCCCTCGGTCCAATTTCTCAGTACCAGAAGTGGCCCTGTGGCAAAGAAGCTCAGGGACAGCAGCCAGGCCTTGAGTTCAAGCCCCATGTCTACCCTCCCCTCACCCCCGCCCCACAAAAAAAAAAAAGAAATAAAAAAAGAAACCTAGTTTTTGCTAGTTTCATAAAAGGGCAAAGCCATAAAAATGGTTTCTGGGAAATTAAATCTCAAAACAAATTTTTTTCTTAGTAAAAACTTACATTTTGGTAAGGGTCAGCTAAGGTTTCTTTACATGTATCTATTTACTCCAAGAAAGCATAGCTTATAAAAAATGAATTATTGTAACCTATAACTTTTTTTTTATTGTGAAAATATAGAGGGGTTACAATTACATGGGCAAGGTAATGAGTACATTTCTTATCAAGCACTGTTGCCTCCTCCTTTGTTTCCCCTTCCCATCCCTTCCCATCTTCCCCTATACCCCCAACAATGTTATTTTTAAGCCAATTTTTAATCAAAGGTTTTTATAAGACAGGCTAAATATTGTGACTGACATAAGAACTTCATAGGGATGAAAACACATGTTCTTTGAGATAAAATTAGAAATGCAAAGATCAAAATTTTGTGGTTCACCAATTGCAGGCCAGGAAAACAAATCCTTGGCAACAGAAGTAGGGAGGAAAAAAGAAAGAAAAAGCACTGTAGCTCTGCTATTATTCACTTCAGGTATACTTTGGTCTACTCTACATTGATTTTTTTTTCTACATTGATTTTATTTTTCAGATGAATTCAGAATAGGACATATAGAAAGATCATAAACAGCTGTCAACTATACAAAGGATCTCTTTCATCTACTCTAATGGAAGGGTTGTGACCGGAAAGTTGAGAAATCAGTGATAGATGTAAGGAAAAGGGAGAGGGCTACTCTGGGACCTGGCTGTGGAAAGGATGAGGTAATAGTCATTTAAAAAAAATATTTCACCAGGCGCTGGTGGCTCACTTCTGTAATCCTAACTACTCAGGAGGCTGAGATTTGAGGGTCACAGTTCAAAGCCAGCCAGGGCAGGAAAAGTCCGTGAGACTCTTATCCCCAATAAACCACTAGAAAACCAGAAGTGGTGCTGTGGCTCAAGTGGTAGAGCACTAGCCTTGAGCTGGCAAATTGAGGGACAGCACCTAGGCCCAGAATTCAAGCCCTATGACCTCCCCCACAAAATAAAATTCAAGGACTTAGCCATGTTGAAATAATGAGGAAGAAGATCTAGCTGAAAAGTACTGGAAAGAGAATGGATTATTACTGAAATATAACGGGGGAGGCTGTTTGTGTTGGATCAGGATATCATAAAGTGTCAACAATAGAATCCAAGAGTACATATGATATACATCTAGTTTATTGACAGTTCTAGGATGCTTGTCGCTCAGGCCTGCAATCCTAGCTACTCAGGACTCTGAGATCTGAGGACTGCGGTTTGAAAAGTCTGTGAGACCTTACCTCCAATTAACTACCAAAAGCCAGAAGTAGAGATGTGGCTCAAGTGGTAAAACTCCCGCCTTGATCAAAGAAAGGAAAAAACAAAGCCAAAAAAGAGTTGAAAGCTGAGTTCAACCCCCAGTAAAAAGTTCTAAAAAAATTAAAACTGTATTCTTATTTAATTCAATATAAATTATTAATTTTACACACAACCTAAATAGCATGAGAATGAATGTTTTATGGTGCAAATGGATCCAAGAATACAAACACAAAAAATAAATTTTTAGAGAAAAAAATCTTTTAGCAAGCAAGGTTCACCCAAAATCTTTATCTTTCTTCTGTATTTGGTTGGGTGGTTGCAAAGCCAATGCACATGCAAATTAAAATTTTAAATGCAGATAGGAAAAATAACTTAAGCAAATGCTCTTTGGTAACGTAATCTGAAACATTCAATGTACATAACCAATACTATCTAATTACTATCTCAGTATCAAGTTGCTTCTGTTTTCTTTCTTAAAATAGTCTATAAAATGATTCAAATTCTTTAAAGAGTACTTAGAAAGTTTGTTAATCTGGTTACATCTAAAGAAAAGAAAAGAACATTTAAACATAAGCAATCAAATAAGTCCACTAAGAATACTAATATATCCATAATACTTTGTTCCATTCATAAATCCCAGCTTAATTGGAAGAAAAACATGTTCCCCGTGTTATACCTCAGCACCTCTCCCCCCTGCCTTGACGCTACCATTGTCTTCTGTTTGCTCAGTACTTAAGTGCAGTCACGACATTGCACATTTCCTGTTGGAATCTTTAAAGGATGAGAGCCCTACCTTTTATGTCATGCTGGTACAAAAGTGGCTCACAGCAGGCTACTAGCATTTGTGGAACAAAAATGTAGTTGCTCCATTAAAAAATGCTGTTATGTAAGTTTAGGGAAATTGTTTATATTAAGGATGATAGTCATCTATGCCTACACTTTTTACAAAAACAGAGAGAATTCGCCTAGATTGTTTATTAATTTTGTGTACAGGGTGATAAAGAATTATACCATACTATAGAGTTTTTTCTCGAAATCTTTGAAAAAAATAAATAAGAAGTTCACATACGTTGTTATGTGAAATGACCAATTGTGATAATTCTCAAAGTAGAAATTGGACCAGTTTTGGAAGATTCTTTTATGTTCTTTGGGCTGCACAACTTCCAGAGATCTAATTTTTTCCAGTAAAAATCAGAAATAAAACACAAAAGATTCTTCTGACACAGACATCCCCTATCACAGCTTTAACAACCCAGCAGGTACACATAAAGGATTACAAGATAAAAGTAGGAGCATGACCTAAAATCAAAACTATCTAAGCTCTGGCTCTAGATTTGCTTCTGGTTTAATATCAGACCTGAGGCAAACAATTAATCTAGATGTCAGTGTCCTCATTTACTAAATGAGAATATCCTCAAGGGGTACTATACAGTGTAAAATGTAACAATTTAAAAATTAAAGTGGTATTATTTAAAAATACAACCTATTAAAATATATTATTAGCTGGGCACTAGTGGCTCATGCCTGTAAGCCTAATTACTCAGAAGACTGAGATTTGAGGATCACAGTTCAAAGCCAGCCTTGGCAGAAAAGTCCATAAGATCTCCAATTAACTACCAAAGGGCCAGAAGCAGAGCTGTGGCTCAAGTACTAGAGTACTAGCCTTGAGCAAAAAAGTTCAGGGACAGCACCCAGGTCCTGGGTTCAAGCCCCAGTACTGACTTAAAAAAATCATTGTTAAGATTGACAGTACTTATGAAAATAGATTAAAATCACTTCAAATTTACTCAAATTTACTATAATGTAAACATACTAAAACAGCCAAAGAAAAGCTTAAAACACATGTTAAGATATTTATTTTAAAACATCAAAATAGAATCAGGTGGATTTTTGGTTTCTGCTACAGTCTGAATATGTTCCCCAAGTTCATGTGTTAGAAATTTGATTCCCAATACAACAATGTTAAAAGATGGGATGTTTTAAAGGTAATTAGGTCATGAAGGCTCTTCTCATGAGCGGATTAATGCCATTGAGAAAATGTTAACCAATGTGGATGGGTTCCAGATAAAAGGATGATTTTATGCTGCCTCCTCTCCTCCTGTCCTCTCCCCCTTCTTCCTCATCCTCCTCTTCTTCCCTCTTCCAAACTCTTCTCTCTTCTACTTTTCTGCCATAGGCAGAACAGGACTATGTACATAGTGGGTACTGTTAATACTGGTTTACTGAATAAAATTTTCTTATTTTTTTACCAATACTGTGTACATAGTAGTTACTATTAATACTGGTTTACTAAATAAAGTTCTCTTATTTTTACAAGAGAACAACAAATATCATTAGAGAAAGTTTGCAGAGAATGGCCTCAAGGGATCCTCACATGCTTGAAAATTATGGCTTTGGCCTCATTAGTAGTATGACCCAATCAAGCAAAGCTAATTGGCCTATTTTTTCTAATATAAAGCACATTTCAGTTGTCTGGATTATAACATGACCCATAAACTATGATTCAATAAACTATGAATACATAATTACATGATGCTGACATTCAGGCATAGATGCCATTTATATGAAAAATTTAAAACTAACTTACTTTAAGAAAAATAGCTGCTATTATTATGAATAGAGTCATCATTAATCATCCTGACATAATGACCATCATTCCTTTTTTAAGGAAATAACATAGGTAGAAAGAAGCTTCAGTCACTTCATCTGTAAGATGGGGAAGTCTTCTCACTCTTAAGCATGTTTTGAAAATTAAAAGCAGAAATACTAAGTAGTAAGCACAAAACAGGGCCCGGGCAATGTTTTCTTTTCATATTCCTTGCTTAAAAAAATAAATTATATATATATATATATATATATATATATATATATATATTAGGTGATAAAGGTTGCCCTGAATATTATAACAGCAGAATAGAGACCTATAGCCTCAGCTCCAATTACCACAGAAGCCAAATGAAATGGAGGGGATAGTTTTAACTGGCCATGTGATAATTTGGTCACAGCAATATAGAAGCTAATGGTCTGATATAAATACCAGAATTTAACCACTCTTTATGGTTTCTTCTTATTGGGAGATGTTCAAATTCCAAATACTCATTTGTGAATGAACTTCTGAAAAACATCTCTGTAATTTCAGCAATGGTTGAAAGTGACCTTTGCATTCACAAATGAGATGGAGTTTACAAGTGAATGTTTATCTTTATTTGAAAAGATAGAAATTGATAATAATATGATCTGAAAGCAAACAAGAATAGTTATGGTTGACAAAGAATAGTACACATTAATAAATAAAGCCTTCCATCAAGAAGATATAATGAGGGTCTAGGAATGTGGCTTAGTGGCAGAGTGCTTTCCTAGCATGCTTGAGGCCCTGGGTTTGAAGCCTTGGTAGTACATAAAAAAAACAATAATAAGAAGAATTTTTTTAAAAATAAAGAAAATACAATGATTAGGAAGTGGAGGTATGGCTCAAGTGGTTAAATGCCAGCCTTGAACAAAAAAGTCAAATATGAGTGAGAAGCCTTGAGTTCAAGCTCTAGCACCAGCAACTAATTTTTAAAAGATACAGTGATTGTAATATATATGTACCAAACATTAGTTTATTTAATTGAACAAAAACAAGCACTATTGGACATAAAGGGACAAACAGGTGCAGACACAATAAAAGTAAGTGACTTCAATAACACACTCAACAGAAAAAAATCATCTAGATAACAACAACAAATCAACAAAGAAACATCATAATTAAACTGTACTATAGATCAAATGAGCTTAACGGATTTATAAAACTATTCACTCAACAGCTGTGGAATACACGTTCTTCTAAGCAACCCATGAAACTTTCTCCACTTACACCATGTTTGTGTACACAAAATATGGTATACACAATGGAATGTCATTCAACCATTAAAAAGAATTACATGTCATTTGTAGGAAACTAATAAAACTGGGGACCATCATGTTATCAAATAATCCACACTCAGAAAGACAAATATTGTATGATGTGAAAGCAGAAGGGGGTAGGGGGAGGAGAAAGAGGAGGAGGAGGACGACAAGAAGAAAGAAGAAGGGGACCAGACAAAGGGTAGCACTAATGGATAATATGAGGAGATGAATATAATCAGAGGACATTTATATATATATGTATATATATATATATATATATACATATATATATATACACACACACATATAAATGTCATAATGAAACTCATTGTTTTGTACAATTAATATACACTAACCAAAATGATGTGAAAAGCATAGTACATCCATCTACACAATCTACATATTTTCTTTCTACATTAAAAGTAAATTCCAGGCCAGGTGTCAGTGGCTCACTCCTGTAATCCTAGCTACTCAGGAGGCTGAGATCTGAGGATCATGATTCAAAGCCAGCCCAGGCAGGAAAGTCCATGAGACTCTTATCTCCAATAAACCACCAGAAAACTGGAGGTGTCACTGTGGCTCAAGTGGTAAAGTGCTAGCCTTGAGCTGAAGAGCTGAGCTCCATGGCCCACCAACAAAAAAAAAAGGAAATTCCATATAGCCCCAGAGTAGACAGTCACCGTCTGGCATGGGATCAGAACTTACCTGGTCAATGTAGAATGCTGTGCCTGCACGGATCTCTCGTCGCTGTTTGAGATCAGTCTCAGTGGTGTCCCTTGACAAAGAGATGTACTCAACTTCTCTCCTGGTCAATTCCTGTTGAGCACAGAATGAAGTTATTCCAAATCTAAAATCAAAACTATCTGCACTTAATAATGCCAAAGCATGTTAATTGAAAATGCTCTAAAGAAGTCTAAATCAAATTCTGGATTAAAACCTTTTAAGTATCAGATTTGAATCAATGTCCATTACACTATAACCAAAATACACATAGCTAATATCTATGATAAAAATGGATACAGGGGCTGGGAAGGTGGCTCAGTGGTAGAGTGCTTGCCTTGCATGCATGAGGCCCTGGGTTCGATTCCTCAGCACTACATAAGCAAAAAGAAAAAAGCCGGAAGTGGGCTCAAGTGGTAGAGCACTAGCCTTGAGCTGAAGAGCTGAGGGACAGCACCCAGGCCCAGAGTTCAGGCCCCACGACCGGACCCAAAAAAGTAAAAAATAAAAACGGATACAGATAAATTTTCATATACATCTATATTGGAAGAGCTCTGTTTCTACTGCACTCAATTCTACTACTTAAGCAACTATTCAGAATGAGATCTTGCAAACCTTGATTTCTCCTACATAACTCTTTTCAAATATTATGAGTAATAATTGGATAGTATCCCTTCTTGGTTTTCTACAAGCCTTAGCAATTTCTATAAGCAAGGAAGTTAAAACTAATTTATCCATTGACTAATGTCTAACAAACATATACACTATGTTAAGTACTTTACCAGGTGAAAAACAAGGCAAATGTCAATAATCAAGTTAATGAAAGAAAGATACATGTACACAGCAGGAGATATAAAGAAAAGGTAGGAACAAGGAAAAAAAGATAGATATAGAAGGAAAAGGGAGGAGAATGAAGAGGAAGATTAAAAACTATGTCACAAAAATATCACGTGATTTGAAGGAAAAGTCATCCAGACTTAGTTCTTTCTAACATGTTTTCTTTTTCTTTTTTCTTTGTCTTTTTGGGGGGGTGTCAGTCATGGGGCTTGAACTCAGGGCCTGGGCACTGTCCCGAGCTCTTTGTACTCAAAGCCAGCACTCTACCTCTTTGAGCCACAGTGCCACTTCCAACTTTTGAGTGCTTGTTAAAGAGTCTCATGGAAACTTTTCAAAGTGATCAGCCTCCTGAGTAGCTAGGATTACAAGCATGAACTTAAAGTCATATTGCCCTATATCTAACCACTGGGTTTTAAAAAAAAGTTTTTAAACTCACCCTTAATTTTCTACTTTTCTTTCTTTTTTTTAATTATTTAGATTGACTTTAATTTACTGATTAACATTCTGAGCTGGCAGAAGTTAACCCAACTGTAAATCTGTAAACTTTTTGCATGTTAAGTACATGCAACTAATTTTCCACTTTTCAACTGAGAACAGTGACATTCTCCAGTCAAATAAGGCCTACAAATTTATTATGCAAAGAAAGCAAGTCAATTTATTGGATATACAGGGAAAAGTTATGACAACATGCCAGTAATAGCAAAAGGAGATGTTTCCACGTGGCATTTTTTTTTCCTCCACTCTATATTGTATACTGATTTTTTTTTTTTTTTTTTGGTCCGGTTGTGGGGCCTGAACTCTGGGCCTGGGCGCTGTCCCTCAGCTCTTCAGCTCAAGGCTAGCGCTCTACCACTAGAGCCACAGCGCCACTTCCAGCTTTTTTCTTTTTGCTTATGTGGTGCTGAGGAATCGAACCCAGGGCCGCAGGCATGCAAGGCAAGCACTCTACCACTGAGCTACCTTCCCAGCCCTTGTATACTGATCTTAAAACTTCTGTATTATTGTCATTCATCTTTTAATGTGCCTTCCTAGTACTGTTATAACTTCAAGTGTATGTTTATGAACAAGAGAAAGAATTTTAGATAGAGAATATACACAGTGAGTAGTAAAGATGTGACAATATCAAAATCACCAAACTATGAGAGCCAATTGTGGAGTAAAGTAGCAGCTTCTCTTCTTAGCATATCCTCCCTCCTGCCTCTGGAACTCATCACCAGTACCTTCATGTCAGCTTCTTTGATTGGCTGAATGTGACCTCTATCCCTGAAACCCTGTCATTCATAATGGCCAACATAACAATTTATGTCTGTTCTTGTCAAACTAAGCTACAGTTAAACCCTGAACACTGAAGGCAGTGCTGAGATTTTCCTCAGTATAGACAGGCTCTATGGACTCCTCCTCAGCCACCATCCACACTAGTCTCCTCAGATCTAGCTTGATGAAAGGAAGAACAGGCTCAACTACTGCACATACAGCAGGAGTCTGCGGCAGTGGGGGGCTGAGTTGGTTCGAACAATCTACAAACCTTAAGCTGAAGAGCATAGGGGCAGCGCCCAGGCCCAGAGTTCAAGCCACATGACCAAAAAAAAAAAGACAACTGTCAAATTATTTTTGTTAATTTTTAGTTGGTTCATCCGTCTTATCCCAATTTTCTAACCCTCCTCCTCTTTGGGGGGCTTAAGACCTGGTCTTGCTGTGCCACCCAATCTAGCCCAGAAAACTCACACTCTTCCTCCTGCCTCAGAATCCTATAAGTGCTGAGATTACAGGTATACACCACTACAGCCAACCAATTTCTACCTTCAATGGTATTATCTGCCCTTGGTATTATTAAGTGAAGGCTTTTTTTTTCTTTGGTCAGTTGTGGGGCTTGAATTCTGGGCCTGGCACTGTCTCTCAGCTCTTGATCTCCAGGCTAACGTTCTACCACTTGAGTCATAGCACCACTTCTGATTTTCTAGTGGTTTATTGGAGATAAAGAGTCTCATGGACTTTCCTGCCCGGGCTGGCTTTGAACTGTGATCCTCAGATCTCAGCCTCCTGAGTTGTCTAGGATCACAGGCGCAAACCACTAGCGCCCGGCAAGTGAAAGCTTTTATACCCAATGGCAAGGGTACTCACTGAGAATCTTCCAGGTGGCTTGGGCCACTGTTGAGTTTCACTGTATGATTTGCACAGCCCATCACTGTCTTAGCCCAATTTCATGTGTAAACTTTGGCTGTAGTGGTTGTTTTTAAAACTACAGGCTTGATACAGACTTACCTTGCATTTTGAACCAACAAGTCTCCTATAATCTCCTAGCCACTCTCTACATAATTTCAACCAAGTTCAAAGCCTTGCCAAAAACAAAAACTCAGTATGGGATTATGGTCTTTGAAATAAGCAAGGCAGAAGTACACATTTGAAAACCAAAGAGGTTGCAGACCAGAGGCTCCTAGCAGCTGACCCTCAGAATTAGAAAAACCAAGTGAGTACACAGCTCCAGCAGCACACCACATCACACAGAGGGACTCCGGAGATAAATAAAAAAGCACAAACAGCCTCCTACTCATCCCTATAATCCTAGCTACTCGGGAGCTTGAGATTTGAAACTCAAAGTTCAAAGCCAACTTGGACACGAAAGTCTGTGACAAACTTTTGCTGGAAGCAAAGCTGTGGCTCAAATGGTAGAGTGCTAGCCTAAGCACAAAATCTTAGAGGCTCTGATTTTAAGCCTGAGGACAGACAGACAGACACACACACACACACACACACACACACACAATCTTAGAGGCTCTGATTTTAAGCCTGAGGACGGACACACACACACACACACACACACACACACACACACACAAGCTGTATGATTTATCTTTTCATCTTTCTTGCTTTAAATGCCTTTGGAAGTTTCAAATGAAATTTATCACTAAAATAATATATATATACAAAACATATTTCAATAGTAAAGAAATTAATGATTTAATGCCAAATCACACAAGTAGCTTTAAACAAGGTTTATTCTTCATTAAGTACAACTTCAACTGATAATGTTTTTCCTAGAGAGAGCAGAGCAATGTTTACTAATGCTGACTATTTTCTACTGAAAAGTCTTGTCAGTGCTCTTGTTTGGATTAGATTTGAACATTTTAATTCACATAACAACAGTTCTAGAAGATCTTCTGGCATTAAGAGAATAACATGCCAGAAAGAGAAAACTAAGTATACAGCATTTGAAGTCTAGCTGAATAAAGACTGAGTTATTTAATGTCTATAGACTTATTTTCTTATCTATTTAAAGGAAAAAAAGAAAAGCAAGCTAATACATAAGAAATGTTCTTCAATGAACGTTCTGCTCTATAAGGACCATGTAACTTCAGGAAGTCAAAAGAATTGCTTGGATTCTTAAAATGTGAACCTATATAAGGAAAAGTTCACCAAGTATAATAAAACTGTCTCTTTTTTTCCCTCTGGGACTGGAGTTTGAACTAAGGATCTAAGACCTACTGGCCGTTAGCTTTTTCACTCAAAACTGGAGCTCTACCACTTGAGCCACACTTCTAAGTTTCTGGTAGGTAATTGGAGATAAGAGTCTCATAGACTTTCCTACCCAGGCTGGCTTTGAATCATGATCTCCAAATCTCAGTCTTCTGAGTACCTAGGATAACAGGCAAGAACTACCAGCAATTGGTGCAAAACTAAGTTTTGTTTTGTAGCTTCAGAGTTACTGATTCTATTGAGAAGTTTTTTAGTTGCAGGAGAAAAAAAAAAATCCCTGCTAAAACTATGAAAGGCAAAAGCACTTTTTCTCCCTAAATAACTTTTGTCAACCAGGTGCTGGTGGCTCATGCCAGTAATCCTAGCTACTCAGGAGGCTGAGGTCTGAGGATCGAGGCTGGAAGTCAGCATGGGTAGGGATGTCTGTGAGATTCTGACCTCTAATTAACCAAAAGAAAAATTAAAAGTGGAGCTGTGACTCAAAATGGTAGAGCACTAACCTTGAGCGAAACAGCTCAAGGACAGCACCCAGGCCCAGAGTTCAAAGCTCTATAACCAACAAAAAATAATAACAACTTTGGTCAAACCCTATTAAAAAAAAAATCACTCACAGGGCTGGCTCTTATCTGTAATCCCAGCTACTTGGGCAGTAGACACAAGGAGGATCAAGGTTCAAGGCCACCTAGGTATAGTACAACACAATCCCAGCTACATAAGGAAGAAATAAGATTGGTAGATTGTGGCCTGAAGCTGGCCCTGAGCAAAACACACATGACTCTATCTGAAAAATAACTAAAAGCTAAAAACAGCTGGGGACACTGCTTACATGATAGATGCATGCTTAGCAAGCATGAGGCCCTGAGTTTAAACTCCAACATAACAACCAAAAAAAATTAAGTTAAAATAGGAAGGATAGAAATAGGATAGTAGAAGCCAGCTTTTTGATATTACTACTTCAAGTAGTAGCTAGTTCTAATGTTATACATTCTTAACCATCATTTATTTTATAACAGAGCTTATCACAATGAAGATCATTAGAAATGAAGAAGAACTGATTGCTCACCAAGTACTGCATAGCAATAGTGCGTCGAAGAGGCCCAGGAGGTCCTATTAGAAAGACATCTTGCCCCAGAAGATCCTTTTGCATTATCCATCTTAGATGTTGAACTACTGACTGAGCCAGAGAATCTGAAACTGTAAGAGGTAAAAAGAGAAAATGACATGCAAACTGGACTTTTTCTTACAATACAAATTTGGCAGCCACACAAACTATGTATTTTAAAATACATATTTGCATATATATACCCAGAAACTATAAATACCTGGGGAATGTTCACTGTTTCAAATAAAACAATTGCTAAAAGGCTAAAACAGTAAATTTTTTTGATAGTAGAATCACAATTTACATTTGAAAACTTATAAGAATAATCTATACATTCCTAAGGAAATGTTTTTCAAGGATTATTTGAGAAAGTGGGTAGTTAATACAAAATCAGAGACTAATCCTTTTATTTATAAAGAAGTGTATCCAAACAATCCAGAAAATTAATATTTATCACTGAGTTGGAAAACTAGAGGTAAGTACATTATAATTAAAGGTGCAAAGGTTATATAATCTCTCAAACTTCACACCTAGAAATCTGACACAGATTTAAAACCATTTCAAAGGAAGTTAGTACCATTCTATACCTAGCCTTTTAGAAAAAACTATGCCATACAATATCTTCCAACTCTACTATTAAATAAATCATCAATATGTTTATCTCCTACACAGCATTTTTTAATGTTTAAATTAGTGCAGTTAATTTGTGTTTGCTCAAATGTAAATGAGCCAGTGGCCCAGCAGGTAAACTAGAAAATCTCTTGTTCTTGTACATCAAGAGACATGTAGAATACTTTGAATAGCAACATTCAAAATCAAAAGCAGCAACAGGAGAATGAATAAAGTGTACATGATGAAAATTATAAAAATAATTTTATAAAAATAATTTTTAAAGAAATAAATATATTATAACTACTGGCTAATCATTCCTAATTTTAAAATCTGAAATTTTAAAAGTTCCAAAATCTGAATTCTGAGTATTTAAATAACATGGGAAGTTAAAAAGTCCACTCTTGACCTCAAGTTACAGGTTATTACCAAAATGCTCAGATACCAAAAATACCTCTAGAATTATCTTCAGCCAATGTGTGTGAATTATATATAAAACATAAGTGAATTTTGTGTTTAGATTTGGATCCCATCCCCAAAGTATTTCATTATATATGCAAATACCCCGGAAATTAAAAATGTGAAATAGGGGGCTGGGAAGGTAGCTCAGTGGTAGAGTGCATGCCTTGCAAAAATGTGAAATAAAAAATATGTATGATTCCAACTATTTCAGAAGGGATATTTAATCCTAATAACTTACTGAATACTTAAATATATAATACTGAGTAAAAATAATATCAATAAATAAATCAAATGCTTTGCATCAAATACCATGTTAATAGAACTAAGGACAAAAATCACAAAACTGCCTCAATAGATATAGAAAAGACCTTTTACAAAATTCAACATCACTTTATGATAAAAGTCCTGAAGATAGGGATAGTCCTGTAAATAGGGATAATTTCACCATCTTCCTTTCTCATTGTATTGCTTTTATATCTTCTCTTGCCATATAAAGAATTCAAGCACTATATTGAATGAGAGTGGAGAGAATAGGCACTCTTATTTCTGATTTTAGATGCAATGCCTTCAGTTTTTCCCTATGTTGAACATTGCTAGAGACAGGTTTATCCTGAATAACATTTATTATGTTGAGATACAGTGTATAGACACATACACACACATACACATACACACACACACACATACACACACACGTACATATATAGGAACTATGTGGGGCAAGAACTAGTGGAGGGTGGAGGAGGGTGAGAGAAAGAAAAGGGTAATTGAGGGGTGAATATGATCAAAGTATATTATATCTAAATATAAAAATAGATCAAATAAACTTATTAGAGATGGTTGGGTTGGCAGGGAGGATAAAGTAGTTAAATACTGTTGAAATAAGCTTGGAGAACTCACAGAAGATTCATCTAGCCGGGTGCTGGTGGCTCACGCCTATAATCCTAGCTACTTAGGAGGCTGAGATCTGAGGATTGCAGGAAAGTCTGTGAAATTCTTATCTTCAATTAAAAAACAAAAAAACACCAGAAAACCAGAAGTGCACTGTGGCTCAAGTGGTAGAGTGCTTACCTTGAGCTGAAGAGCTGAGGGATAGTTCCCAGGCCCCCAGAGTTCAAGCCCCATGACCAACCAAAAAAAAAAAGAAAAAAAAAGATCCTTCTAACTTTTTTTGTTCTTACTTAAGGCTTAAACCCATATCTGTGATGAGGTCTCAGAGAGACAAGCCTGTTTCCCTGCTGCTTAAGGATGAAACAAATAAGAATTATGAAACACTATCTTCTAAATCAGTAAACCAACACAATGTTCTCAGTGTTACAATCTACCATCTCTTCTTATTTGGATAATAAATACATAATTAAAAACCTAAGCATTTGTGGTTTTTTTTCCTTTTACATTTTCATAAATCTTACCTTAATCTGACCTCGGACCTTCCTTAAATCTCTCTGAATTTTGTACTACTCCTTTATATTCAACTTTGGCAGTGTGCCTGACATTCCATTACTTGGACTATTTAAAGCCTAAAATTGCAAAGTTCTAGGAGGTAAAACCAAGTTGACCTCTCCAGTTTCAAATCCCCTTTTTTTTTTTGGTAACAATTGTAAGCTAATCATAATTACAGGTCATCTATTTAATTCTACATGGGTTCCAGTCCACTTAAAATGTCTGAGAAGAATATTCATTTTCAAGATTTCTAAAACTCAAAGGCAGCAGTTCTTAATAAAGTGAGATTTGTCCCTCACAAGTCACTAGTTAATAAAAATGCTCAAACTTGGAGATAACATCCATTTTTTTCTTGAACTCAGGGACTTAATGCCTGCTATGCTAATGTTCTACCACATAAATTATCCCTCTAACCCTACTTTTTCTGGCTATTTTGAAGACAGAGTCTAGTAAACTTTGCTGCCTGGACTATCTTCAAACTAGAATCTTCCAGGTCTCAGCTTCTTGAGTACTAATATTATATGTGTGAACTACCAGTGCCTACAATTTATTTTTTTTAAGGAGATTGCACAGGAATGGAGGGAGGGAGCATGAGCAAGGTACTCATTACATTCAAAGTATATTATGTAAAAAATGAACTAGTAAACATGAGGCTGGAACAGAAGAGAGAAACTGGGGGGAAATGAAGGAAGGTAAGACACTGATCAAGAAGCATTTTACTGATAACCTGACTTAGAGTTTCGTAACTCTTTGTACTACTACTTAATAATAGTAATAAAAAACAAACTAAAGAGGGCTGGAAAGGTGGCTCAGTGGTAGAGTGCTTGCCTTGCATGCATGAGGCCCTGGGTTCGATTCCTCAGCACCACATAAGCAGAAAAAGCCAGAAGTGGCACTGTGGCTCAAGTGGTAGAGCGCTAACCTTGAGTTGAAATGCTGAGGGACAGCACCCAGGCCCAGAGTTCAGGCCCCACAACCGACATAAAACAAAACAAAACAAAAAACTAAAGAGTAGATTGGAGCAGGAATCTAAGGTGTACCTATACAGAACAATAACCAATGGCCTTTCTTGAATGAGAGAAAAGAGAATGAGTTATTAAAGCTTGAGCTATGGGAATTATGTCTTCCAATTCAGCATGATGCTTATATGTGTTAAGAACTGACCAGAAGAGCATCTGACGATCTCAGTCATGAGTTATTTTATTCTTATCACTGTATGGTGGTCCTCAACCAGTGACAGTACTGCTGTCTCTGTCCTGTCAGAAGGCATTCCAAACCATCTGTGATCCTCTACTTTGTCTCACAGCTTAGATGATTCAATACCTTATTAATAGTGACATTAGATGCAATGTCCAAGGCCGTCCCAACCTGCCCAATGCAATAATGGCACCCACTACTAGGGAGTTACTTCTAACTTGCTATAATTAAGCCTAGAGAAAAAGTTCCTTTCAGGCTCCCCTAGCTCCTGCATAATGAAACTGTTAAGGAGACGAGTCGGTAGCAAACAAATTCTTCCTTAATATTGAGTCTAAAGGACATGTTGCTATAGTTCAGGCTTTGTGCCTCACTACAATTCAGTTCTAGGGAGCTTCTGAATCATGTATAGTCTGTCTGTTCTCTACTTTTTCCTTCCTCCAAAAACAGACTAATAATGGATCTGACTTACCGTATTCCTGTCATGTGCCAGGTAAAAACATAAATGATTTTTTTACATTACATCTCATTTAGATCTCACAACAACCAAAGAAGGCAAGAAATGATAGAATGTAAGGATACAAAATTGAGCCAGACTGTCTGTGTTCAAATTCCAAATCCACTATTTACTGAGCTGTATAACGTCAACCAATTTACTAACACCATCTGTGCTCAGTCCCCCCACTTTTATAACGGATTGAATTTACAGATCTATTGTAAGCATATACAACAAGGTCCAGTAATGGTGTATGCTGTGTGAGTGTTACTATATTACAATAGAAATATCAAAGGCTGAAAGGTGGTATCATTTTCCATATAAGTCCATGAGCCAATATTAGATTTAAGTCTTTTGAATCCATAGTGTATACCAGTCACTAACTCCTATTGCCTCCTTTTGTAAGGCCTTTGATAGCATCTACCTTCATGCTCAACACCTTTCCTATAAGTGCGACCTCTACAGGACTACAGCAAATTTAGAAGGCTGCCACTCTGGCCATTGATTCTATTTTTCTATATTTAGTGACATTAATAATAAAGTTTTATTCTTCCTATCAAAATGTTAAAGTAATTGGTTACAAGCATTATGTTGTCAGAGAACTCACTTCTCCATAAAACTCCTACTTTCCTTATTCATGTTTCAGCATATATTCTCATAAAGAAAGTACCTCTGTGTGTGTCAGGAAATTGTACTAGACTCCTGAAAGAAAGCATTATGTCAAGTTATGTGATGCATGTGATACATTTTACATTAATGCTTGAAACTAGCTATATTTTTCAGATGGCCCCAAGAAAACATTAGTTATACTTAAAAGCACATCAGAGAAAAAAAGCAAGATTTAAGACTGTACGTTACCAACATCTGCAAAGCAAACTGCCAAGCTTCCAGACATAATTTAACATGTATACTGCCCAGTACATGAGAGAAACCCCCAACTTTGCTCATGCACAAGATGCCACCCTCTAGGAAACCATTAGTACTAAATATTGATGATAAACCACAGCAGAAAGCCTGATCCTACATTCTCTGATTTTCTTTTCTAGGTATGAAAGAATCCAGCCTCACCCACCAAGTCATCTTTCTACTTTATGCTCTGCACAGCAGGATGCACAATGTAGACTGGGTGGCTATCAACTGGCTCCGGAGTTTACACTCAAAGCATCTACTCAGCCTAAAACACCCCCTGAAGAAGTAATGGTTGAAGGAATACAGTAGTTACCTAATCCAAATCCATAAGACAATGTCAGCTATTTTCCCATGACATTTCACTTTAATCACCACCATCAGCCCACAGAATCACTCAAAGAGATTCCAACACACAACTATCACATTCCCCTAAATTTGATCTTGCCAGCACAGCATACTGAGAAATCTCAAAAGATGTACAATAATCTCTTCACTGCAATTGCATGTCATCTACTGCCATCACCTAACTACTGTACTATAGGTAGGACAGTGGACATCGTGGAGGGAAACATGGTGGTAAGGGACACAGGGCACTGCGTTCAGAACTGGAGTCCTCATTATCTACAACTGGGGCTAAATGTACTGAAATGTTAAATCAGTTCAGTAAAGACCTTTGAAGATTATAGAGGAAATCTATACACACAATGTCAGTTTATACAAAGCCACTTACTCACTTACGAAATGGGCTGAGAGTCTTCACCCAATATAGCTGCAACCAAAACTAACACTGGCTAGCATAGCATAGCATACCACTGATAAGAGATTTCATTTTTCTTAAAATTGGAAAAAATTCATCAATATAGACTTTAAAATTATTTGATGTAAGAGTATTTCCAGGGAGGGGGCCAGGCTAACCAGGAGAATGAAGGAGAATAAGTATTATCAAAATAGATTGCCTTCAACTATGAAAATAGAAAAATAAAATCTGCTGAAATTGTTTGGGAAAAGAATAAATTGTAAACAGGTATGGGAATCTAACAATAAAATCCTCTCTAATATAAGCTAATAAAAAGATAGAGCTAAGCAATGGTGGTTCACACCTGTAATCCTAGTAATCCTGTAACCTTATTCAGGAGGCTGGGATCTGAGAATCATGGTACAAAGCCTACTGAGGCAGAAAAGTCTTAGTGAGACTCTTATCTCTAATTAACTACTGAGAAACTGGAAGTGAAGCTGTTACTCAAAGTGGCAGAGCTCTAGCCTTAGGAAAAAGAAGTCAGGGACAGTGCCCAGATCCTGAGTCCAAGACCATGATGGACAAAAATATAAAAATTAGGAAGTGGCGCTATAGCTCAAGAGGTAGAGCGCTTGCCTTGAACTGAAGAGCTGAGGGACAGAGCTCAGGACCAGAGTTCCAGCCCTACTACCGACAAAAAAAATAACAGGGGGCTGGGAAGGTGGCTCAGTGGTAGAGCGCTTGCCTTGCATGCCTGAGGCCCTGGGTTCGATTCCTCAGCACCACATAAGCAAAAAGAAAAAAGCCGGAGTGGCACTGTGGCTCAAGTGGTAGAGCGCTAGCCTTGAGCTGAAGAGCTGAGGGACAGTGCCCAGGCCCAGAGTTCAGGCCCCACGACCGGACCCAAAAAAAAAAAAAAAAAGTTCAGTTATCCACTTGAACACTTGCATGTGAGAGACTTTGGACTAAGATGATGAATGGAAATTTTAATGGTTAAGGCAGGAGCTGACAAGACCTAGATAATGAAACACAAAAAAGCAATCAAACTCTTGGATGTATAATGTGCTTGGTCCCTGAATAGATGCTAGAGCTAGTATAAATTTCTATGGTGCTCCACACTGTGAAAACAGAAGTAAATTCTAATGAAAAGTTGACAACCAACTTTAGATTATAAACATTCATTACCTAAAGTGGTCAATGAAATGAGCCATTTTGTTTGATGAGATAAAACTGCTTTCATGGAGTTTGTCAATAAACTTTAGACTTCCCTTTCAGAATACTTCTTGTCTATGGTACCTGCCAACTAGCATTTATTAAACACATGAATAGCAGGGTTCATAGTTCAACAGTATGATTTATATTTCTTCATTACTATAATAGGGATTTTCAATGATTTCCTAATTACAAAAGTAGAAATAAAATATCATCACCATGCCTAACTAATTCAGTAGTTTTTTTTTCAAAATCATCTTTCATATTTTTAAATCCCACGGTAATTTTCTAACATACCATTCTTTCCATTTCAGGATTAATTTTCATGGCAGACTATAAAAGGAAAACCAAACTGAAGTTAGGAAATATAGGCTTTCTACTTGTTAACTGGTGTTCTACAAGAATTTTTGTGGTCCTACTTTCCTGGCTACAAAACAAAGTTTTGGAGAGTATGATAATTGCCAACGTTCCTTTCTTCAACAAAAGTCTGTCATTTTATGTTTCATTTGAAAATCAGAAACATCCAAAAGCAAGAAACATTTTTAGAAAGCTCAACTAAAGAATAAACAAAGGAAGGAAATACAATTTCCAAAGTATTTCAGATATTCTTTAAGCTCCAAAAGAAAAAAGTAGCCATCAAAATTCCTTATAACCCAAACCAAAAATCTTCAATCAATCATGTAATAATACAACGGTAAAAACAATTGTATTTTTTCCCATTGTGGAAATATTGCCTGAGAAAGAAAGTTCAATAAACTTAATGTTTGAACTTAATACAATAAAGATACATAAAACATGTTGCCTAATAAATTATATTTTATCTGTCCAATTAATATAGCAACCCCATAATGCCTGAGCAATCAACTAGTTTTCCAAGTCTCTTCTTCTAAAACAAATTCTTAACACTCTTTCTCTTACAAATGGACATAGTTACTTATAAAAAAAACAAAACACAGTAGTAGAAACAACAGTAGTAATAACACAGTAGTAGTAACAATTTTACCACTGGATGAAAAATATACTTCCATTTTGATATACAAATCTTAATAGACCATGATATTGTGTGCATGGAAGGAAGAATGAAGAATGGATAACATGCAAACTGGAGCTATAGACTACCCAGCTTCTCTCAACATAAATTCTTTGGGTAAATTTCAAACAGCAAGCTACTAACAACACAAAAAAAAAAACATGAAAAATTATCAATTTTTAAAGAAAAAGATCTTTGAAAGGAAATTGAGGCTTACATGAATGACTGACAAATGTAAGCCTGCTAACAACCTAACTGAGGGAGAACACAAAATCTAATCTATATGAAATGCATAGCAGATTAAGTGACTTACATTTTTTGAAACAGGGTATTACTATGTAGTCCAGGTTAGTCTGAAAACTTGTGAGTGCAGCCTGGCCACCCATTTGGAATCTTCTTCTGCCTCCTAAATCCTAGGATTACAGGTGTGAGGCACCACATCAGACCAAGATTTATTTTATAAAGACAGAATGAAATCTAAATTTTTTTGCTTAGCTCTTAAACAGAACCAAAATAACCTTTACTAATTGTCATATTCAGGATTATCACTCATACATGTGAAATAAAAAGAGGGAACCACACTAGGGAATCTAGAAAAATGATTGTGTGAGTATTCATATTTATTGAACACTAAGTACAAAGCACTACCCTACACATTTCATTTATGCTTTTTAATCCTTATTCTATATCCATGAGGTTGAAACCACAATCCCCTACAGTCAAGAAGACTGTAGTAGATGTTACCTAGAGAAATTCACATAACCAGAGAGTAGAACAGCCAAAATTATAAGCATAATCTCCACCCAAGCTATCATTTTCCTACAGAACTCAAAAAAATAAAAGTTTTTCTTTTATTAAGAGGCAATATTATTCATCTCTGAAATTTACTGTAAAAAATGAGCTACATTCACAATAAGAAAACACTCCAAAATCAGGAGAAATGCTCTTTTTTTCAATTATTATGTACCCATGGCAGGTAACATATAATAAATCTATTTTCTCAATTTTTCCCCAGATAAGTGTAACAACTTGTGAAGAATTTATGTCACTAATCTTGCCCCCAGAAAAGAAAACCTGTCTATTATAATAATGTGCTTAGACGTAACCATTAAACAATGAACATTAAAAATAAATGTTCCTGACTCCCACTTCTAGTTAGAATGAAGAGTACTGCAAGCAAATTTCACTCTAACATTACGAGCAGAACAAATCAGTTAATCTTCACAAAAAAAAAATCACAATTTCTTGAAGCAACACAAACCTAAGAATACAAAGAAACCTAAATAAACTAAATTCTAGAAAGTAATGAGCCCTTCTAAAGAGAGAAAAGACCCATAGCTAACTGTCACCTACTGAAGAATGGCAGGAGAAAAACAAAAGAAACTTTCAACTAACGTAGAAATAGCTAACCAACCATTATATGATGAATTAATATACTACACAGTCCAGTGACACAGAAAACCTACACCAATGCACACCCACCAGCCCATTAAAAACTACACACTGGTCTGACACTGGTGGCTCACACCTGTAATCCTAGCTATTCAGAAGGCTGAGATCTGAAGATCGTGGGTCTAACCCATACCCAGAAGTTAAGTCTGCGAGAATCATCTCTAATTAACCACCAGAAAACCAGAAGTTGAGCTCTGGTTCAAAGTGGTAGAGCTCTATCCTTGAGCTCAAAAGCTCAGGAACAGTGCTCAGGCCCTGAGTTCAAGCCCTACAACCATACCTCCTGAGTGAAACAAGAAAGGATCTCTGGGATAGGTCTGAAGTTTTCCAGACAAAAACTGAAGATCAAAATATAGATGAACGTGAAGCTGAACGTCCATTAGGTTTGAACTAGTATCTCTAGTTTTGTGTATGTTTGGAGATTTCCATAATAAAAAGTTAATATTCATTCATGAACATATTTCTTACTGTAATTCCGCGGCACGAGTTCCGGGTTCTTAGGAGTTTTCAATGTGTAGGATACATCTCCAATATTAACTGTATCACCTAAAATGAAAACAAAGAAATGTAAATGCATCAGCTATCTTTCCTTTTTCAACTATGACCTTGAACTGAGCATACTCACACATGTGCCCACCCTAAAGTGGTTCCTATATGATTCTGTATAAATTTCCCATACACCCCTTTGTTCAAGGAGGGAACTACTTTGTTTTTTTTTGTTTGTTTTTTTGTTTTTTTTGGGGGTCCGGTCATGGGGCCTGAACTCTGGGCCTGGGCACTGTCCCTCAGCTCTTCAGCTCAAGGCTAGCGCTCTACCACTTGAGCCAGAGCGCCACTTCTGGCTTTTTTCTTTTTGCATATGTGGTGCTGAGGAATTGAACCCAGGGCCTCATGCATGCAAGGCAAGCGCTCTACCACTGAGCCACCTTCTCAGCCCAAGGAGGGAACTACTTTGGAAACAACTTCCATGCTCTCCTTATCTGTCATAGGCAAGAAATCCTTGTCAATATATTGTTGTTGGGTTTTTTTGGCCATGTTTGTTGTTTCCCTTTTATTCATCAAGATGAGAACCTGTTGCATTTGGTTACATCATCAGGTAACTATTTATGAAGATGAGGGCAATTTGAGAAACAACAAGGTCAATACAGTACCCTGGAGCTAACGCACCTAGAACCATCCCTAGGCTTGATAGGTCAAAGGAGAGAGCAAATAGCAGTCTAACAGGAGCCATGATCCTTTGTAGAAAAAGACAAAGACTTGTGGTGACCTGGGCAGAAGAGAGCTGGGGAATAAATATGAAGAAAAGAAAAAGCTTGCAGAACAAAAAGCGAAAAAGACAAACCCATAATCATATATGGATAACTTAATATGCTTCTCTAAGTAACTGCTGGAAGAAGCAGAGGAGGAAAGGGCTCAAAAGCAGAGGAAACCACTTTGTGACATTTTGGCTAAGAGAAGTGTAGAGATAAAGCCAGAGAGATCTGAACTCACTCATCCCCATCTGACTTAAATGATGGTTATGAAACAATATGCCAATAACAGCATGATACATTTTTTTAATTTACATGGAACACTCACAAAAATATGACAGGCTAGATCATAATGCCAATCTTGATAAATGTCGCGTAACTGAAATTATATAGTATGCTCTCTGACCACATCTGAGTGAAATTAGAAATCACCAATGAAAAGGTAACTAAAAGATCTTCAAACATTTGAATATCATACAAAAGGCATCTGTAACTCCTCTGTATATCACCTTTATAATAACATTAATTTTTTAAAATACATTAAAATGGGCTCAAATGCTCATGCCTGCAATTCCAGCTAATCGGGACTGAGTCCAGAAGGATCATAGTTCAAGGCCAGGCCTTGAAAAAGAGAGTGAGGATCCCATTTTAACAATAATCTAGGAACGGTGGTCTACACTTTGTCATTCCAGCTATGAAGAAAACAAGTAGAAGGAGGATGTCCAGACCAGCCCTGGCAAAAACAGGAAACCTTATCTGAGAAACAAAGCAAAAGAAGGCTGGACTCCTGATTCAAGTGATGGAGCAATAACTGGCCAAATGAAAAGGAAGAAACCACAATAGAAAATGCTGTCACAGAGAAATAAGGCAGTGATCAATTAGTTATGTCTGTTGCAGACACCGAAGAGTTGGGGCAACCACACAAACCAGGCATTTACCATTCCTGTCTTAACAATTCACATTTTGGGCACTGTCCTCACCATGCTAGTTTTCTGACTCAGCTAGTCCATACCAATGGCACAGTTCTGTTCTTTACACAATTCCTAAATATCTACTTAGGTTACATTTCTCCCTGTGTTGCATTCCTGCCAGTTGCCTAACCAAGACTATTTTAAAGGCATCTCAATCCCAACAAAAATGGAACTCAGTGGGCCCAAACACATCGAACTCTTATATTCCTTCTTCAATAAATAGAAAGTTTACATCTTCAGCCTAAATGGCCTTCCACACTTCTCTTACACCATTATCTCTGTACACAAGTTAAATATTTTCATCTCCCCCAGTGAGCCCTCCCTAAATTTTCCTCTAGCATACCCACCCCCTCAAGAACTGACCACTCCATTCCTGGGGCTTGAATTCAGGGCCTGGGCTCTGTCCCTCAGCGTTTTTCCACTCAGGGCTACTACTTGAGCCACTCCTCCACTTATTCCTGTCTTTTTGCTAGCTAGATGTATAGTTTCATAATGCATTTCTTTCACGGTCTTTATACTTCTATAATGCTTTCTTTCACAGCATTTCATCAAATTGTATTTCCTCTATTAACAGTAATTCTTCAGTGAGGATATATGAACACTTTCCAAGGTTCCAGAACTAGTTTTCCCATCTTCTCTTCCAGAAGTTCTAATGGAAGGGTCTGCAGGTTCTCTATTCCCACAGGCATTTTTTTGAAAAGCCCTTTTCCTGTAGGTTGCAAGACACCACTTGCTCCAGGGCACTCAAATGAAAGAACATAGAGGTTTACAACCACAAGGGAAAATTCCGTTTTAAAATTATTCCAATCACACAGGAAGCTGAACTATGCCTTATCTTGGGGGTGGGGGCCCTCCTCCACTGGTAGCCAAATAAAAAAAGATGGTGGACAAATGCAGTCATAACATTCAATGTACATAAGTGAAAATAGAACAAGGAAGCTTGAGGGGATGGGTAGGGCTTGGGAGAGGTGGGACAGGGAGAGAATGATGGAAGGGGTGCACTGACCAAGATGTGTTGTACGTACAAATTGATATGTTGAACTGAAACTCCTTTGTACAACTAAAGTTAATAAAAATTAATTAAAGGGCTGGGAAGGTGGCTCAGTGGTAGAGTGCTTGCCTTGCATGCATGAGGCCCTAGGTTCAATTCCTCAGCACCACATAAGCAGAAAAAGCCAGAAGTGGTGCTGTGGCTCAAGTGGTAGAGCGCTTGAGCTGAAGAGATAAGGGACAGCACCTAAGCCCAGAGTTCAGGCCCCATAACCAACAAAAAAAATAAAAATAAAAAGCAAAAACAATTATTCAAATCAATGTAAATAAATCTTAAGATTGTAATGTTCCTACTCAAAGTGCAGAGTTACTTTAGCTCTGACTACTTGAGTCTACACTGGCTGTTTCAGATAGTGTGCCAGCAGACTGGGGAAGTAAAGGAGTATTGTCAAGTGCGCCAGGATGGGAAAGGTCAGGGAGCACAGAATAGGAAGCTTCAAACACTAGCTTTTCACACACTCAAAGATAAGCTGTCTCAATACTTATCTTGAGAACATGCTATTGCTTTAAAAAGAAAAAGTACTTCTGAACATTAAAGCAATTCCTATCATTGAGACTGATCCATTTTAAACTGAAATCATTTACAATACAGTATACCAAATTTTTCACAGTATATGGGCTAAATATCAGAGACAATTTTTAAGTGTTTCTTTTAGGTCAAGTTGCAAACTTACTTTAAAACTTAAATCATACAATACTTAACACTACAGAATCATATATGAGACACCCATAATTAAATACAATGAATGCCAATGATATAGGCAAAGAAAAATTGCATAAGAATATAACATTGCATTTATTTACTATTAGCTTTACTGGTTTTAGTAGTTTACCAAATACATCCCATAACTTATTTGTGTGTGTCTATATATATAAACATCTATTTTAATTGAAAAGTAATTTGTCAGTAAGTTTGAGTGATTTGATTTTTTTAGGGGGGTTTTTCTGGTTTTTTGCTGATATCAGGACTTGAATTCAGGAACTCATACTATTTTTTTTTTTTGGGTCCAGTCATGGGGTCTGAACTCTGGGCCTGGGCGCTGTCCCTCAGCTCTTCCGCTCAAGGCTAGCGCTCTACCACTTGAGCCACAGCACCACTTCCGGCTTTTTTCTTTTTGTTTATGTGGTGCTGAGGAATTGAACCCAGGGTCTCAGGCATGCAAGGCAAGCGCTCTACCCCTGAGCCACCTTCCCAGCCCAGGAACTCATACTTTTGATCAGCTTGTTTGCTGAACTGGCACTCAACCTGAAGACCTGTGAAAACTTTAAAAGTTTGACAAAATGTATTTAACCATGTCATAAAATACCTTATAAATATACTATATCAGCAAAAGAATTTAGAAAATAATAGTTTTATTTTGCCAACTCATTCTCAGCACAATAAACAAGGAGTTAGTAATTAAAGTAAAATAGAGCATTTGATACATCTTGGTAAAGCCTCTTTAAATGTCCCTCCTAAAGACTGAAGCATGGTATATAGGCAAGTACACCATTTATTTGTAAGTTAGGTAGTTATTTAGCCATTGTTACCAATAAAATTGAATAATGCCCTAATCAAGTTGTCAGTTAACAAATTATTAAAATGCCATTTTTATAACAGAACAACATATTATTTTTGGCGTATAACTTAAAAGTCTGCAAAGGCACTTTTGGGCATTTACCCAAACGATCATAAACAAGGCCTACTAAAGCTACCAGCACAATTATGTTTATCGCAATATTATTCACCATAGCTAAGATATGGAACCAACCCAGATGCCCCTCAGTAAATGAATGGATCAAGAAAATGTGGCACGCGCGCGTGCGTGCACACACACACACAGACACACACAAAATGGAATTCTATGCCTCCATCAGAAAGAATGACACTTCTCCATTTGTTAGGAAGTGGAAAGACTTGGAAAAAATTACATTAAGTGAACTAAGTCAGGCCCAAAGAAACACAGGTCTCGGGCTGGGAAGGTGGCTCAGTGGTAGAGCGCTTGCCTTGCATGCCTGAGGCCCTGGTTCGATTCCTCAGCACCACATAAGCAAAAAGAAAAAAGCCGGAAGTGGCACTGTGGCTCAAGTGGTAGAGCACTAGCCTTGAGCTGAAGAGCTGAGGGACAGCGCCCAGGCCCAGAGTTCAGACCCCACGACTGGACCCAAAAAAAAAAAAGAAAGAAAGAAACACAGGTCTCATGGTTTCCCTTATTTGCAATAACTAGTATATGCCTAAGACAAGCAGAAAAGGTCAAAAGCTATGACCATATAAGATGATGCTAAGCAAAATGAACAAGATAGGGACACAAGAGGTTGTATCTTTCTTGCTGTTGTTTTTAATGTACTTATAATGTACTATGTAATTTTTTTGTTTCCTTTGTATATTCTTCCCCCATGGTCTAACCCATTTTCACTGTATTTGATGCCGGTGTCCTGCATCTTGTATATACATTTTTCTAATTTAGGAATGGGAAGGGAAATAACAAAATGCTGAAATAAGGATACAGGCTGACCCACTGTAAAAATGAGATGTATAAGAAACTATGTTGAAAACAAACTTTACAACTTCAGGGGGGGAGGGGAGAGAAGGGTTGGTGGAGGGAAAACAAAGGAGGGGGTAATAATGCTCAATAGGAAATGTACTCATTACCTTACTCATGTAACTGTAACCCCTCTGTACAATATCTTTACAATAAAAAATAGTTTTTAAAAAAGTCTGGAATGGCTTGGTTGGCACTGATACATCAAAACTCCTGGGCTGGGAAGATGGCTCACTGGTAGAATGCTTGCCTAGCATGCATGAAGCCCTGGGTTTGAATCCTCAGTACCACTACCACTCATGCCTGTAATCCTAGTTACTCAGGAGGCTGAGATATGAAGATTAAGATTTGGCACCAGCCTGGTCAGAAAAATCCCTAAGATCT